TTTTTTTTTCACAAAAGAGTTTTATGATGTGGCCCACCAAAACCGAAGTGATATTTTCGTCGCGGATGTGACGTCGAAAAGGTGCACACGACCGGGAGGCAAAGAAAAAAATCCACGCCTCTAAAGCACATTGTACTGGAAATCGCCAAGCCTCTCCTATTTAAACACGCTTCAACAAAGGTTGGGAAGTGTTACAATCTTGTAACACATGACGGCAAAAGCCTATGGTGGCACTCATGAAAGACAAGGCGAACCCTTTTTTTGTGCTGTGCTCGTACTGACTTAGAAGCACGGGCAGTTTATTCCTCCTCCATGAAGTGGATGACGAGTGGGCGAAGCTAGGTCTTAAAGCCCATAATGTCTAGGTTGAGGTCGCCAACTAGAACAAAGGGTTCAAGCTTGTAGGTGTTTTATATTGGTCTGTCACCATTATGATTGTTATTTGTCTATCGTAAATCTTTTTTATTCACAAACACACATATGTTGCATTTAGCAATGGCTTTCTAACCATCATGAGAATGGGCAGTGGGCGTCGACGACAAAGTAAGGTCCCCAAGTCCATAATGTGTACCGTGGAAATTGCGCAGCTACGAACTAGTGGTGAGAGAGAAACTCTATTCATCAATAAGCCAAGCAGCAAGTGCGATTTGTTGCCCGCAAGTACGAATACTAGGCAAATGTGTGTACTACCCATCATTCCCATGGTCGCTGAAGGATCGCAGTGCCAGAGTCCCCTCTAACAGAGAGAGAGAGATAAAGATGCAGGGAAAGGCAGGGAGGTTAACCAGACGCACATCCGGTTTGCTACCCTGCACTGGTGAAGGGATAAAGGGGAGAAAAGAGGTTGCGGAGAGATAAGAAGGTACACACAATCACGAGCACACTCGGGGGAGCACACACAGTCCACAGGTGGTCGCTCAGGTTTGTTGTCTTTAAGTAAAGTAGGAGTGTTTTAGTCGCTTTCTGCGCAACTGAGGCAGATGCCCAAGGTCCCAGAATCTTCTTCACACAGAATGGTCTAGAGTCAAGTTGACTAGTGGTGAGAATACCGAGGAAAAAGCGAATCCAGTAACTTCCCTTTTGTCACCCCCTGGCTATACTCTACTATGCATGGCTATTACGCTAGGAGTTACTCGGCGCATACCCGTTTTTTTTTTTTTGTGGCACATACCCGCAGAGTCTTGTGCAGCAAAAAGACGGATTTACTTCAAACAGCTGAGGCCACGCAACTGTGACAGGGAACCAGCGCGCTCGTGCCAATGGAGTATACGCCAACCGGGCGGCGCACAACGACAAAAAAAAAACCACAGTTAGTAGACGCTATGGGCAATTTAAAGGAACACTAAAGTCAAAAAACACTTTACGTCAGAGTGAAAGTTTAATGTATGACATCTAAAACGACAATATTATAAACAACAGTGCCCCACTTACCGAGAAATTAAGGTAAATGCACAAGAACACAGGCGCCACTTTCAAAATGATCCCGATGACATCAGACGGACCGCCTACAATTAATCACTAGAAATCGATCTATTTGCACTTGATAACGAACCTTCTGTGCATCAAGAGATGCAATAAAATGCTGCTTGTTCGCTTCTCTTTAATTCATGGGGAAAAAAACTGCCGGATGTTACTATGGGGAATGGCACGAGTGGTTCGAAAATTCAATTTTCGCGTAGTTACAGAGGACAGGTGGTGCCATCTGGCGGGGCGCTGTTGAACAAAAAAACGTCTGCAATCTCGGAGTCAATGGCGGGAAACTGATCAATGGCCGTTGTTGCTGCTGAGGCTCCCGCTGTTTTCGGTCTGCTGCTACTAGTGCAGTAAAGCCAGGCATTGTTGTGCACGGCAACAGTGACGTGAGACGGTCCGGTCAGTCCGCTTCTTGAGACGGGTAATTTGAAGTGCGCTAACCTGATGCGGACCAGTAAAACGTGTTTTCATTTCAAAATAGGCCATTCCTTGGCATGAAAGTAACACTACGAGGTTTCTGGACCGCTATTTAAACAATCAACGTCGACTTAATAGTTACCTTTAGTGTCCCTTTAAAACACCAGTGAGCCCAGAGGAGGGTTTACCCTCCTTTTTCATAAAGACCTCTGCAAGGAGCAGTCAGTTGCCTGGAGACAGCTACGACTATTGCGCACCGGAATCTCAGTCTTTGGTTGGTTGGTTGGTTACAACTTTGCCTGACCGCCACCTCGCGGGCCTGCTGGACGGCCCAGAGTTGGTCGCCGAGGCTGGGGCTGCAAAGCGCAGCGGCCCACCGCGGCGGGATGGTTTCGAATTTAGCACCTTGCGGATTTTCGGCACAATCCCAGGGCATGTGATTTAATGTGGCAACCTCAATACGGCATATCTTGCATATATTCGCCTCAGCAAAATTTACCCAGCAACATATGATAATCAATACCCACTATGGGGAAAACACCCCACATTCATGTAACACGGGCCTGCCAACATTCAAAGGTAGTGCCAAGAGACAACACACCGGCACCGGAGCAGTGGGAGGCTGCGCTGTCCTGCTCGAAGCCCGGAGAACAGCTCAAGCCAATTGACAAAGCTCGCAAGACAGAAAAGACCAAAGGGTTAATGGACTGAAGGCTCCAACTTCAGCAAGAGAATTTCTTTGCAAGTTTTTTACTCATTCATTCCGCAGTGAAGGTGAAAAGGGGAAACACACAAACAAGCACTCCTTCCGCAAGCTGATACTTCTACGCTTTGAGGTGAATATCTACTGCAGTAAATGTTCAAAGCATTTTTGCACCAGTATTCAATGTTCACCCGAATGACAAGCACCAATAATGCAATGTTTCTTCGTTAGACATCAGCATGCAAATCCTTTTGTCGTAGCACCGTTTCACATGTAAACTCATTCCCCGTTAAGAGAAAAAGGCGTTATTAGGTTGGCAAAAGTTCCTGTCCTTACTGGTAGTAATGGGCTGCAAATGGAAGTGCATGCTATTGTACACTACATCATTCCTGTGTATTCCCTCTTTATACTTTTTACAGAAAACAGGAAAGCAACATTCAATGGTATAAAAATAAATTCTGTTCCACGGAAAAAAGGCATTGTATAAAATAAAATGGCCATTGAGACACAATAGACTGGGTGTCTCAAACTCATCTCAGCTGACATGCCACAGTCCCGAAAATTCACTCTTGGAGTGCTAGTAAGTACACTGAAAGTAAAAGATGGGGAGGGGGCAGCAAACTTGACGCTTACCTTTAAAATACAGAAATCTTGAAATCTATGTGCCAATTCTTAAATACATAGAGGCTTTTTTTTTTTTTCTGAGCTATGTATCAAGAAATGGTTACTGCAGGAGGTGCCTCATGACAAAAATACTTTAGACCAACCATGCATGTGTTGCCTGCAAACATATTTATTTATTCAAAATGCCTTACAGGCCCATTAAATGTCATTCAGTAAAGGAGGCATCAGTATATACATTGCAAAAAACACAATCATGAAAAAAAAACAAAAAAGAAGTGTAGGCTGTGGCCGCAAAAGAGAGGTTGCGTATTTGAGACCACTGCTCTAAACGAACGAGACCATACATACATTACTGAACGAATCAATTTATATATATATATATATAATATATATATATATATATACATATATATAACTAAAGGTGAATCTATGGTCACTTTGCGCCAACAAAGAAGCAAATCAGACTACAGTGTATGACTATGTTTCAGTGTTTATAGAATAAATTTTTCGCAAGGCATCATCATCTGCCTGACTACGGCCATTGCAGGGCAAAGGCGTCTCCCATGTTCTGCCACTGAATCTGGTTATAACTTCTGCCACTGCAAACTTTTCAATTTCATCTGCCCGCCATATTTTCTGTCTCCCCTTGCGAGTTTGCCTTCTTTTGGAATCCAGTCGGTTACCCTTACTGACCAGTGGTCATTTCACCTACACACTATGTCCACTAGCCGTGCTGATTTCTGCTTGATTTTGACTAAGATGTCCTTAACACCCGTTTGTTCCCCAACCCAAACAGCTCTCTTCCCTTCTCTTGAGGTTACATCTATCAATTTCCTTTCCATTGCTCATAGCACAGTCCTCAATTTGAGTCGGCAAGGTATGGGTCAGTGCTTATTCTCCAAAACAGTCTACATACCAGTTGTACGACATGAAGCACACATCACATTGGTCCTCAAAATCACCTTTATTTCAAATGTTACAGTTCTTGTCAGATACGTTTTACACAACCAAAAAAATGTACACTAGTCGTTCGAAAAAAAAAAGTATATAATGTAAATGTTACGGTACATCCTTATAAAAAGTTGCCTATGTTCACGAGAATCAAGAAAAGGTTGCTTGAAATTACAGTTCATCATCCCTCCATAAAAGAAAGCTCCCTTTAGCAACCTCACTAAAATCAGAATGGAATGTGAAACCTTTGCACGAACAAGCACACTGGCTGAATACAGCGATAAAGCAATGCACCACTGTTCTCGGGGAGACAGTAGCGAGGTTTATAACTGTACAGCAAACACTGGCAGAACGATGGGGCAACAGAGTGCCTATATAATGTCAACAATATTCAAAAAATGCTAAAAGAACACTATTACTTTCTGCCAAAATGAAAATTGCTAAAATATTTAAATACTGTCCAAAAAATGCACACGAGTATACCTACATGATGACACAAGACTCCTTTGCATGCTCGCCAATGCACCGCAACGAAGAAGAAAAAAATAACGCAGGCAAAATGTGTAATGCATGACTGGTGCTTAAGTAGATCTGCGCTGCCTATGAGACAAATGAATATGAGTACTGTGTGGCAATGAAGGACAGTAAAAGCAATGTCAACAACAAGAGGAGGGATACCGAACAGAAAAAAAGGGAAAAAAAAAAGAGCGGAAATCGAGAGCACTCTTTCTTAAAAAAAAAAAAAAAAGCCCAGCTGCTGGAATGGTGGAGACGAAAATGGCTCCAAAAATGGCAAAGAGTGCAGGCTGTGGAAGTTGTGGTACCTTTTCCGTTTTGTTTTGTTTAGCTCCTACCAGCCCCAGCCGCTAGAGACAACGAGCAGGCAAACGCAGCCGTTCGACCAGACTCGTACGCTCGTTGTCGGCTCACCGACCGGGGTCACAACTGCTTTGAAGACTCAGCACCAGCGTCTGGCAACACTGCGCCCTAGTGCATGGTGCAATGCTACTCGAGTCGTTCGTCCTCGCAGGCTGCACGCCGCCAAACAACGTTTGTCTCGTGAAAGGAGGCGCCGGCCGCGGTGTCGCGGAGAAGCAATGCTCTTTGTCTATAAGACATCCATTCATCCCGCCTCTGTCGTCATCAGCACAACCCAAGAAATGCAACGCAAGATACCCCTGCGACACTTGAGCAAAGTTTCCATGTGAAATGTTTATGTTGAGAGATAGACGGACACACACGGGCACGTGTGCAACGATGGAAGGACCCAATTACGGAACCAGCTGAACTGAGAGCTGCCACAGTAAGGACGTGATAAGAGAAAAAGGTTCAATTAAATGATGCGGGAAGACGGGGAGCGAGAGACGAGTAGCATGGGGAATGGGACAAGACGAGGGTGCTGAGACACACGTGACGCGATTCACCGAAACGAAACCAAAACAAAGTAAAGAAAGCCTGATCGCCGCAAACCACGGCGAAAAACACTCTTGTTGGCACTGGCAGGATCAGGAATAGTACAGCGTAGTAATGATGACAGAGCGTACTCAGTAGTAGTAGTAAGCGTTTGGAGTAGTAAATGGCAACGGGGAAAAAAATTGCTTCCCCACTTTCCCAGGTATATATATGTATATATCCCCGACACCTTTCCCCTCATATTCAACCAACGGAGGGGAACGTGCCTCCTTCCTTCGTTTTTACTTTAGCATCGACGTCCCACATCTTTACGCCACAGCTGACGTCGAAGAGACAGCTGCCTTGATTGCAAACAGCTGCTCGTTATGCCACCTAACGAGGTGGCATTATAGGAGTCCAGCAAGCCCTGCGCAGCATGCAAGGGGGTGCAGGAAATATTGTTTCTAGTGAGAGTGTGGGGAGACCTGGTCTTGACTTCCTTCTTTCCATTTCACAATTCAGCCCTGCATTCATTCGTTTTCGTTCCTGTTAGGCAAGTTCGGTGAGTGCGTGTCATGCCACTTCCACCGCCCGCGTGCACACAGTCAGAGAGCATCTCCTTGGCATCTGTTGTCTTCACGTTTTTTGTTCGCGTCAACAACTGCTACCTGCAAAAAGGGCAGACCAGGGAGGGAGAACGCACGTAATCTCTCCGCACGAGATCCGGGTGTGCCGTTCCGAAAAAAAAACTTCACTGCGCAGAACACCTAAAGAGAAAAGTAAAAAACTGAAAAAAAAAAAGCTACTTTAGAGATAGATTCATAACCGGCAAGTAAACGAGACTAAAACGAGGAACTTGCTTTGGCTTCGAGCTGTCCTACACGCTAGCGCAGGCACCGCCTCAGAAAAACGCGAGGTTGTGCGGCGGAGACCTTGGCTGCGCCTGACCTGTGCACATGCGCAAAACTCTACTAAAATTTGATATAATTCTCAATTATAAATTGATTAAAAATGCGAACCAGAAATCCGAACAGCAATGAAATAAAAAAGAATGTCACAAGCATAAAATAAAAACACACTGTTGTCTTCTTCAGACTACTAAACGCACAGTCTTATTCTACTCTCCCTCGCTGTTTTTTTTTTTTCTCCCATGTTGCCTTGGCGTGTGAGAACGTCCCAAAACACGGTGAAACAAGAAAGATGAGAAGCCGTCGCAGCTGAAGTCATGGTGGCCACAGCGTCGCATCTCACACCCAGGAGTCTCCGGCTGGCTGGGACGACTGGCTGTCGAGCGCGAGGTACTGGGGCCCTTGATCGTTCGGATACCGGTCCTTTTTCTTGTTCACCTGGGCGTACACGGGCTCAGGCGGAGACCTCATAGGCTGCTGCTGCTGTTGAAAAACGGGGCAATGGATATCCGAGAAGATGGGCTCAAATAAATGCAACAACATAAAATGGACAAGGACGCACTAATACACAAGAAGCACACTGCATGCAGTCATGTGCCCCTCGTAAAAAAAGTGTGTATGCCAATAAACACATTGGATGCGTTCACGAGTTATCCTATGCAAATGTTCACTTATATTTCCAAGTGGACAGAAGTGAAAGCATATTGAAAAATGACAGATCAAGAATGCGGTTTCAGATGCACTTGTGCTATCATCAACACTTAGAAGCACACAGACCTTTCGATTGGACAGTGGGAGCACCTCTTTTCTGGACCGTAGCACAAAAGTGCAGAGACGGATGTGAAAGCCTCAAAGTGCATAATTGGGAAGTCAGGCATTTACAACAGCCCAGAAAAAATTATGATGGTTCCCTACAAGCCCTGACTGGCAAAATGCATTACAGTCGCTTACAGATTTTTCAGACTCCAAAAATTCGGACTTGTTGAACATTTCGGACTTTACAAATGCACCGTCCAGGTTCCCATTGAACCGATGCATTTTCACGACCGATTTTTTGGACGAATTAATGTTCCCAAGTTCAATTTTCCAGGCTAAATCATTTGTTTTGAGCTATGCCACTTGATTTTGAAAGCTGCCATGTTGGATTTTTTGTTGGCTTGGTTGAGCTTCGCTTGCGGTGGCTAGTTGTGTAGCCTCCAAGATTGGAAGCGCGCATTGTATTCTATTTTTGGAGGCAATGCCTGATTTTCCTTGGCTAGCAAAACAGCACAACATTTCTTCTTCAGTCAGCCTTATCATTATCATTAATACACCAGAAGATTATTTTTATTTTTTGGGCATATGTTTTTCTGCTCGCCATTGCCCACGCGGGACGCAGTCGTGTTAGCAGTGTGCCAATGTGTTTGAGCCATCGTGCACGTCGGATGCTCGCTGCTGTTCGCAATTGCTCACTAGCACTCTGTGGTCACTGTACTCGGCGACCAACCTGAAACACAGGTGTTCGATCGCGGCCGCGACGGTAGCATTTTGATGGTGGCGAAATGCTGGAGAATCAAGTACTGTGCGGAGTCGGTGCAGGTAAAGAAATCCAAGACCGTGTCGCTAAATCTCACCAAACAGGTGTGATGTTTCATGCATCTTTTTGTGACAGGCATCAAGTTTTGTTTGGTAAGTTCCATAAAGCCACCAACTTTGCCAGCAGCAGCGATTGCCAATGCGCCTGTCAACGATGTTACCGTAGCCCAAACAGAACCATACCCGCTTGTCCTCAAGAACACCACAAAATGTAGCAGTACTGGGGTACTTCTTTTGTTGTGCTTTTCTAATCTAAAGAAACTTAATTTTCATGGCTTCACCATTTTTTCGGAAGGTTCGATTTTACGGACTATTACATGGTCCCCGCTAAGTTCGGAAATTCAGTTGGCGACTGTATGTCAGACATAATTTTAAACCAAGAGTGTTCTTAATGTGCAGTCCCTACCGGAAGTTTTGCGACTAATACTTTAGTTGTACTGTCCCAAGTTTAGCAACAGGACAACTGCAGTCTGTTAAAAATTCCATAAATTAGTGACGAATGCAAGGCATGCTGCAGATTTTCATTTGCATTGACAAGGAATTAGAGATGTGTTCGCAACAGCCTGATATTATGGATTGTTTAGAAGAAAGCATGCAATAAGCAAGTTCAAGCATACTTTCCTACGATGTTAGTTGAATTATGGGAGTTCAGGAAGAAAAGAAAGTCACACTCTACATGTGCACACACGCCAAGTGTTCGTAAGAGATACTGAGCCATTATTGTGCTCCTTGCCCATGGAACGAATAGGCAGCTATAGCAGAAGCATTGATGCTTAAGAGTGTTTAACTGGAATGGATGTACTGAATAGCAAATGACACTGTAGTAGTTTACTCCCACAACAAATGTAAAAGTGCTTTTAAGGACTCCCAATCAACCCCCCCCCCCAAAAAGCATTGTGAAGACCTGAAGTAACATTATTCTTCATGAATTCAAAAGAAAACATCGTTGCGCCCACAATTAGTATAGGCAATGGAGGAAAGATTACATGCAAGCACTAACTGCCACAAAATTTCCAAGATCAGATTGGTTGGTTAAGGTTAAAGTTCAGTTTTACTAGTATCTAGTATTTGCAAATAAAATTGAACTTTTACACTACACACCAGTATTATTAGTAAGTGGGTTTTCGAAACGTATGCAATATGGAAATACAAATTAATATAAGATTATGCATTTATTACTCCATTTTCTCGCATAAAACCCACACCAAAATATAGAAAAACATGCTTTAAAAGTGGGGGGTGCATATTATATGCAGGGCTTCTGTGCTTCTTTTTTTTTTTTTTCATAGAGTTAAGGTTGGGGGTGCAGGTTATATACAGAGGCTGGTTGTATGCAAGAAAATACAGAGCATACAAAACCTGGCGTCTACTGCAAGCCGACTGCACTAAGTTTTCTGGCACGTGTGACACAGCAAAGAGCAACGTGAACGAAACAGTACACACTTTTCGTAGGGCAACGTTGCGGCGACATGCAATGGTTAAGACAGAGAGGGAGAGGCATGCGAGAGTAGAAAAAAGCCAAGGAAAACCCACCACGTTTTGTTTTAGTTAAAGGAGTGTAAGACCAGGTCGGGAAGATGTTAGAAACCGGGCGGCTGAAGGAAAGAGCACAGTTAGTCAGACATGGCACAGCACGACACAAGCACGAACGCAGAAGCACGTGTTAATCACAGATGGCACAAATGCAATACCCAGAGTTATCACCAACCACGAACAAAATGCTTGCGCCAATTTCTGGCTACCTAACGAGAGCTGTAAAAGAGCACAAGGAAGTCTTACCAGCCAAATGATATTACAAACGAACCCCGCTACAACAAAACTCACGAGGCGCAGAAAATATTTCGTTGAAGCGAGTTGTAGTGAAATTGAAAAAATATAGCTGATCTGAACTCGCAAAACAAAGGAACGTTTATTTTTGAAATTAAAAAAGTGTCCGCTTCTTCCTATTCTAAACCAGCAGCGTCCCAACACAATTCACAGTTATGCATAGCGAGGTCATAGTGAAAACCACGCTGGAACAACGCCTACGACCGCTTTCGTAAACGTACCAACCAGTTGCATTAACAGGTTAACACCAGCAGCCGTCCGCCGTCATGTGTATTCGACAATGCCGAGATGGAGGCAGGGTATCGTGGAGCGGTGACTTTTGCCTTATTCTATGCCATTCTTATTATCCATCACTCGCGGCTAGCTGATTTGGTTGATAATGCAGACGAACATCAACTCTGATTAAGTACCACACTGGCCAAGCGCGAATAAAATTATAAGCATTGGAATCGGAAAAGGCATCGCTCCGAGGTTGCACGCAGAAGTTGCGTGAAGAAAACCATGAACTGAGCGACTGAGCTTCAGCTTTGGATCACCTGCGGATCGAATCAAGCCAGTGGCAAAAGCAGAGCCATCCTCCATGCAGCAGGGCAGTCTCATTGCCACCGTTATCGAGCAATGGTGGCGCCCATGCTTGCTGAACAGCGGCGGTTTCTAGTGGTGCCAAAGCGTGTTTTAGACTTCGTCGACGTATTTTCAGGTTCTCAAAATGCATCAAAGTGCTAAAGATTGGGTTTCCTGTATAGCCATAAATATCTGAGCCTGAAATTGCATCGTGAAATTTTGTTGAAGCGGGACGGCAGAAGAAAAAGTGTTCGCTGTGGCGACAATATTTATGCATTGACTCCTGTGGACTGCTCACGGGGAACCGTGAATTTTTCGTTAAAGGGGAAATTTTGTTGAAGCGGCGGCGTTCGTTGTAGCGGGGTTCAACTGTACTGGCAAGTCGAACAACGAGACATCATGAGACACAATCTGGCGATGACTGAGAACAGTCTCAACACGACTCACCCAAAAAACATTCACATATCTCCATGCTTGTTTCTTCTTAACAACATAAAAACTTTTCTTTTACTCAAAATGCTAACACACTGCCCACATTCATTCATGTTTCTCGTGAACTGTCAAACGAAATGATAGCAGGTGATAACCTTGGATATTGCAGTAGCAAATATTCCCGATTAGAGAATACACAGTCCTGAATAAACTCTTCCAAATTTCAACGCAAGTATTGACCGATAAAAATTGTGTAGCAACCCATGCACGTTATTACACTAAGTCATCTTTCGTAAGACACTTTTCCTAACATTTTATTAATTAGTCTCACAGAGTTGGGTTACCAGTTTGTATTCATGTTAGATACCACAACTGGAACGAGTAAGACAGAGGAGTGGCACAGAAACAATGCTTTACAAGCACTATATTATGCACAACAAAAAGCAGAGAAAGAGAGAAAGCTCAGACTCACTTTAACACACACCGAAGACTAAAGCAAATGTACCAGCTACAAGAAAGAACAACTCAAAATATCCAAGTTGAGAACAAAATGATACTCGCTTCAGGTCTAGTGATCCACTATATTTCCCATCTGTCCTCGTATCACTTTCTATGTCCCAATCATTGCTACAATCCAACTCCTTCACAGGACACTGATATATCTTCCATAAGTTGCTGCTGGGCAAATACTGCGTTAGGTGAGAGCTATATGTATCTGTCCTGAGACTTGATTTAAATTCACTCCGATTGTTATGTAATTATTGCACCGCAGATACTGCAAACCTGCACCTCCTTTCAAGTGAATGTGCAGAGTCACATGCTTGCACGTTTGACGATCGCAGAGCACAGATAGCAGTCACAACTGACACAATACGTGAGACACTGGAAGCGCGTAGGTAAAAGAGTAATGTGCGACTCGCCGCCCAGCTTCACATCCACAAGTTGTAGTCATATATGATAGTTGAAGTAACTATGCTTTCCTTAGAGGGCATTGCAGCACAACTACACCCGCACTCCAAAACATGCTAAGTAAGAACCCTGGTACTTCAATACCATTTGTTTCGGATAAGCTGGTAGTTAATTCCATAAACATTATTGCAGACAAAATGCCACAGCTTTACAAAATTCATGCAGTAACACTTTTATGAAACTTCATTGCACGTGTTCCTATGACATTACGTGTTCATTTTATTTAAGTTGCGCAGTTCCGTCAATTCCATAGGAAATTATCAGACTAAAACAACCAAACCAGAAAAAGTATAGAGTGAAATTTCCATAGCAACAATGGCTGCATTACAGTGATACTTCCCACTAATTATGAAAGAAAGTACAGAAGACAAAAAAACAACAAGTTAAGAAGCTGTGGTAGCAACACCAGGAAGGCCACTTACAGGGCCCGGTGGGAAAATCGGGACGCCACCAACAGGTGGGCGGTGCAGTGTCGGCTGTTGCGGCTGTGCGGGCTGCGGGGAGCCCGGTTGACCCTCGGCACCGCCACCGCCGCCGCCATGGCTGAGCTCGCTCAGAGGAAGTTCCTCCGACTGGGTAAAATAAACATCAACAATACATTGCATGGATCAACCCCTCTTGGCAGCACAGACAACAAGTCTGTTTGTCTGTTTTCACAGCAAGCAGTCATCTGCATCTTACCATACAATTCTAGATTTTACTTTGCTTTTGTTTTACATAAGCACAGTACAATTTGGCGATATGAAGGTGGATGGTCTGATACACATTCGTCAAATTCCCTGGCCGAATTTATTTGTCCCCTAAGCCAAAATTCAGACATTGCAAAGATTTTTTGCGCCGTGACGGGCATTACAAACATGAGTACTGAAACCGTCGAGCAATGGTCAACAGCAGTGCACTCCTGGAGCTCTGCAAGTGTGGATACAACCAGTGCACAGAGTTAAAATAGTGCTTATCATTTGCCTCAACTGCAGCACATGAAACTGCCGTCGCTATCGAATCGACGATGCATGGAGACAACAAATCTGAAACAACACGAGGATCCAACATTCACAGATTCAAACTGATGCTGCTTAGTGCAACTGCTACAGAGAAGACTGCAGCAGACGCAATCATAGGTAGCAGCTCCGAAGCGCCAGGCACGGTCCTCACAAACGGATTAAAAGCAAAACTTCCATTTAGCCGCGACCACAGCCTACTAAACTGTGGTCACTACTTGCGCAATTATCAATAGTGAAAATGCGGTTTCGAAGGTACAAGGAAAATGCAGCGGTAGATTAAAAGACAACAAAGTCGTAAAAAGACATGAAGTGTTTCAGCATTCCTTCCGAAGTGTTTGAGCGCTATCACTACGATGGAGTGGACTTCAGCGCTTGGATCTCAGTAGACCTCAAGCTAAACTATGACGCGAGCATTTGTGGCAGCCGGCTGTGCCGTACCTTAGTGGTCTATTCAAATGTGTGTTCCAAAAAAACATACACGGGTGCTTTCCACAGAAATAAATGCTCTGTGCACATATCCTCCTTTTCCGAGAAAACCTGTTCTGCTAGTTTTCTGGTGATGAAAAATTATAAAGCAAATATTTTTGCTCCCCCTTGAGATTCGTGTTATCATCATCAGCCTGACTACGCCCGCTGCAGGGCAAAGGCTTTTCCCATGTTCCGCTAATCAGCCCAATTTCGCGCCTTGTTCCCGACAGATTATACTCTCAAACTTCTTAATCTCATCTGCCCCCTTAAACTTCTGTCTCGTCCATCATGTGTTTGCCTTCGCTTAGAACTCAGTCAGCTACTCTTAATTAATGGGGCCCTGCAACACTTTTTGAGCATGGTCGGAAAATGCTGCCATTCCTTAGTCGAAGCTTCCGATAGTGCAGTATGCGGCCTGGAATTCACAATAAATTCTAAAAGTTAGCTAAAAATTGCTTTCTTTTTTCTCGACAAATGACGCTACAAGCTCAAAAATCACTCGCCCCAGCCATTGTATCAGCCATTGGCCGATTTGAGCATTGCGTGCTCAGTCTTTGCTGGGGCCGCCGCGGGAGGCTGCGACTTGTCCACGCATGCGTGCCCTTTTGCACAGAAAAACCACGCATCCGAAGAAAAAAGTGCTCAAGGTTATGAGGTGTGCGTGACGTATTTTTGATCCCCATGCCATCCCTCCATGCTGACCTTCCAGTACATTGGCGGAACGAGAGAGGAGATGCAATCGCAGCCTGTGAGAAATCTTTGCAGCTCCACTCGTACTGTACAGATTCTAAAAATATTTGCGGTGGTGATTTTGTGAGGCAATAAGCTCCTTTAGTGAATCCATTCCATAGCTACTTAACAGAGTGTTGCAAAGCCCCTTTAGTGAATGGTTATTATGGTTATGTGTCCCATGCACTGCCCAAGTCCATTTGTTCTCGACCTTTACTAAAACTTTCTTTAACTTGTGGAATGTGGTTTTGACTAAATGTCAGAAGAACGTGCCACTACAAGTTGCTTTAGTGATTCGTTTGCCATACTGCACTTTAGAGTTGATGCAGTGGTGTGCAATGTTGTCATTGTAAACATTGTAGACCTGCATACAGTGTGGTGCATGGCAAGATGTGGTGAATACGCGGAAAACCAGTAGTTGAGTGTGGTCAAAATTACAAAGCAGTTTAAAAAGATACTGACACATCAAAGGCAAAAGTGCCTACATTACATTTCGCTATCACCACAACATTATAAAAAGAAGAGAAACAAAAAAAGACAAAAGTGCTTACCCGACTGTATGGCATGTTCACTGAAATAGAACAAGAGAGAAGCAGTGAATACATTAAAGAAAAACGAAATTTAAAAGTCGCATGAAAGCACACAAGTTATGAAGAAATATGACGTAACATGTTATCCAAACATCCTGAATTGATTTTTTGAGCAGTGAAATGGTGGTGTGATCTGTCACTACTCAAGCGAGACATACGCAATTTCGATCACCTCTGTAACAGAGTTACTGCATGGTCCCTTAGAGATACAATTAGCTGCACACTTAAGACCAGTTTGGGAGAAGTCTTTCTTTTTTTAGAAATAAAATTTTAGAAAAAAAGAAAAAATCTAGCTATGCAGTAAAACAGTTATGCTAAACAGAACTCATTATGAAGTGGCTGTGCTATATGAAGTTTAGCATTGCAGGGCCAACTATGATGCTGTGCTCAGATATTCAATATCGCGCTGAGAGCCCGTGCTTTGCTGTGACTGTCGCCATTGCATATTCTCGCTCGTTGCCGGCTAATAAACGCCTTAACAATTTGGTGGAGAGTGCTGCGATCCCTGTCTATGCCTTTGGAGCTACGATCACGTACCCTGCCATCTACTATGTACCAAGACGCTTCTCAGCAAACGCCTCCTCCAATGCCACCCCCTTGTCCCGGTGTCCCCAGAATCCGCGATCCACCCATCTTCACTGGCGCTGATGGCACTGACGTGGAGGACTGGCTCGCCATTTACGACCGCGTGAGCGTCCCCAACAAATGGGACGAGGACGGCAAGCTGACAAACTTGGTGTTTTACCTTGCCGGTGTCGCCAGTTTGTGGTACAACAACCACGCGTCCGATTTTGCCACCTGGTCCGATTTCAAGACCGCAATCGTCAACGTCTTCGGCCGCCCTGCTGTTCGCAAGCTGCAAGCCGAGCAGCGCTTGCGTGAACGTGCTCAGGAGGCTGGTGAGTCATTCACCAGCTATATTGAAGATGTCCTGGACCTATGCAACAAATCCAATCACACCATGTCCGAGTCTGACAAGATCCGAAACATCATGAAAGGCATCGACGATGATGCCTTCACGATGCTGCTCGCCAAAAACCCCGGCACGGTGGCTGAGGTCATCACACTGTGCCAGAGCTACGAGGAGCTCCGCCGGCAGCGTTCGATGACCCGACGCTCCCCACCACGAGCTGCAACGCTTGCTGGCTTGGAGGCCAGTTGTGACCAAGTGGCGTTGATGGCAGAACTGAAGTCCTTTATCCGTGAGGAAATCGCGCGTCAGTTCTCCCTCCTGCCCTTTTCCCACCAACCTGCTGTTCAACAATCGGCTACTACCCTTCTCCCTCCCATCCGCCGAGCGATTGAACAGGAAATAGCGGAGGTAATGCCTGCTTACCACCCCCAACAGCCTCCGGCTCCTGCGTCCCTGAGTTACGCGCAAGTGGTCGCCAGGCCACCCCAAGTCGTTCAAGCACCCGCCCCTCTGACCGCGCTTGCAGCAGGAAAGGGTTGCTAGTACCTTTCGCGACCGTGCAGGTCAACCAGGGCAACACTGCTATTTTTGTAACCAACCCGTTCCCGTACGCTGTTACCTTGCTTCGAGGGGAATGTCTCGGCAGAGTGGAACCAGTCGACGACGCACAAGTCCTGGACGTACCCGATGACACGCGCGCTCCCAGGTCGTGTACCATCAATGCTGTTTCCACTTCTGATTCGTCGTCTGCTGATGTATTTGGCCCCTCCATCGCTGACAACCTTACGGCCGTACAGCGTTCCCAACTTCTGGACCTGTTACAAGAATATCGTTCTTCTTTCGATGTCGGGCGAAGTTCTCTCGGTCGCACGTCCGTTGTTACGCATCGCATCGACACTGGTGCCCATCCACCTTTACGGCAACGTCCATATCGCGTGTCGCCTGCTGAACGTCGAGTAATTAATGATCAGGTTGACGATATGCTCCGACGCGACGTTATTCGGCCCTCCGACAGTCCATGGGCGTCTCCTGTTGTTCTTGTTGCGAAGAAAGACGGTTCTGTGCGGTTCTGTGTAGACTACAGACGGCTCAATAAGATCACTCGCAAGGATGTTTATCCACTGCCACGCATCGATGACGCGATTGACAGCCTTCATGGAGCCGATTTTTTTTCTTCTCTCGATCTGCGCTCGGGGTACTGGCAAGTACCCATGGCTGACGACGCTCGACCAAAGACCGCCTTCGTCACGCCAGACGGCTTGTACGAGTTTAACGTCATGCCGTTTGGTCTATGTAATGCACCTGCGACCTTTGAGCGCATGATGGACACCATTCTGCGCAACTTGAAATGGTACACGTGCTTGTGTTACCTCGACGATGTCATTGTCTTTGCTCCGGATTTCTCCACGCATCTCCAACGTCTGAAAGAAGTTTTCGCACGTGTGAGCAATGCCGGCTTACAACTAAATCTGAAAAAGTGCCGCTTTGCAGCACGGCAACTCACCATACTGGGGTACGTCGTGTCCAAAGACGGCATTCTTCCTGATCCTGCCAAGCTTCAGGCCGTGGCCGAATTCCCCAAACCTGCATCTGTCAAAGAACTGCGTAGTTTCGTGGGCCTGTGCTCATACTTCCGACGCTTCATACGAAATTTCGCCACGATCATATCACCGCTGACGAAGCTCCTTGGAAGCAACGGGCCCTTCAATTCGTGGTCATCCGAGTGCGACGACGCGTTCGCGAAGCTCCGCCATTTGTTGACGTCGCCTCCCATTCTACGCCACTACGACCCTACAGCCCCAACGGAGGTGCACACGGACGCCAGCGGAGTAGGCCTCGGCGCTGTCCTGGCGCAGCGAAAACCCGGATTCCCTGAATATGTCGTAGCATATGCAAGCCGTACGCTCACGAGAGCCGAGAAAAACTACACCGTCACGGAGAAAGAGTGCCTGGCGATCGTCTGGGCTCTTACAAAGTTTCGACCTTATTTGTATGGTCGCCCATTCGATGTCGTCACCGACCATCATGCACTATGCTGGCTTTCATCATTGAAGGATCCCTCAGGCCGTCTCGCCCGTTGGGCTCTTCGCTTACAAGACTACGATATCCGCGTGCTGTACCGCAACGGACGCCAGCATGCTGACGCCGACGCCCTCTCGCGCTCCCCTCTGCCTGAAGGTGATGTGCTCTGCTCAGTATCCTCGGCTGCTGTTTCTGCCATTGATGTTGACATCATCGCTACCGAACAGCGAAAGGATAATTGGATCGGCCCGCTCATCGACATGCTCTCTGATCCATCCGCAACGCCATCCACGCGTGCATTGCGTCGTCAAGCTCGCCATTTCGCCATTCGTGACGGCCTCCTACACCGACGCAATTACGACGCCGACGGCCGGCAGTGGTTACTCGTGATACCCCGCAGTCTGCGGTCAGAGATATGTGAATCATTCCATTCTGATCCGCAATGCGCGCACTCTGGGGTATTCAAAACCTACCATCGCATTCGACAACGCTACTTCTGGCGCGGGATGTACCGCTATGTGCAGCAGTTCGTTCGCTCTTGCCTCACTTGCCAACGCCGTAAACCGTCAGCCCACATGTCGCACGCCAGTCTACAACCGTTACCTTGCCCTGACCGTCCCTTTGGGCGCGTAGGTATCGATTTGTATGGACCACTTCCTCTGACGTCGGCTGGTAACCGCTGGGCCATCGTTGCCGTTGACCATTTAACGCGATACGCCGAAACCGCCGCTCTCCCTGCGGCTGCTGCGCGCGATGTTGCGTCCTTCCTGCTGCATCGATTTATACTGCGCCACGGACCACCCCAAGAGCTTCTCAGCGATCGAGGCCGTGTCTTCTTGTCGGAAGTCGTCGAAGCCATTCTGACGGAGTGCCATTCTGTCCACCGCAAAACTACTGCTTACCACCCACAGACGAATGGCCTCACCGAACGCTTTAACCGCACCCTCGGCGACATGCTTTCTATGTACGTCGCTGCCAACCACACTAATTGGGATAATATACTGCCCTTCGTCACCTACGCCTACAACACCGCCCCTCAGAGCACGACTGGTTTTTCACCTTTCTACTTGCTGTACGGAAGGCACCCGTCGCACACCATGGACACGATACTCCCGTACACGCCGGATCCATCTGAGTGTACACCTATTTCCGAGACAGCCAGGCTTGCTGAAGAGTGTCGCGAGCTTGCCAAGACTTTTACGACGCAAGATCAAGAGCGGCAGAAGAGTATCCGTGATGGCTCCACCACTTCTGAGCCCATGTTCCTTCCTGGTGCGCTTGTATGGCTCTCGACCCCGACCTCTGCCGCTGGCCCCTCTTCCAAACTACGTCCCAAATACGAAGGCCCCTACCGTGTCATCGAGCGCACCTCACCCGTCAACTATCTGATCGAACCCGTTGAACAATCTTCGGACATGCGCCGCCGTGGGCGAGACATCGTCAACGTGGAGCGCCTGAAGGCTTATTATGACCCGCTAATAATAACAAGCTGTTAGGTCGCCAGGCGGCTCCCTCTTCGACCCCGGGGTAATTGTAGCGAAGCCTCCGAACTATGAAATGGGTCGAACTCTTGCGTACCTTCTAGTGGGGCTACCCAACAAGGACGCCGCTCGCGCTGAGAGCCCGTGCTTTGCTGTGACTGTCGCCATTGCATATTCTCGCTCGTTGCCGGCTAATAGACGCCTTAACAAATTAATGGTACACCCGTAAGTAATGCCTGTCTGAACTAATTGTAAGAGATAGCAGAGAACTTTATAAGAATGATTATCTTGGTACATGCTGACGGGCATTGTTTGTGCTAATCATTACTACTTTTAAATGTTGTACATATAATTTGTTCAGTGTAATTAGTTTGTGTTAAAGGGGAGTTGCCACTTTAAGACGCTTTTTTTTTTTAATTACCGTAGATCTACGAAACTTGCACTACTTATAAAGCCCCTCATGGTAATTACTTCTCAGTCCTTTTGTCTCAATCTCGCTGTGTCCAGAACAACAAATTCATATAATCTTGCCCAATTTCCTATCCCACTTAATGGTAAAGCATACATTACCATGATGGAACCATTTTCTGCTTGAGCTACTGTTACCACGTGTGGCAAAACTACTTTGGAATTCACCCCCCCCCCCCCCCCCCCCCCCCCCCCCCCAACACACAACCACCCCAGTTATGCAAGTGATGCTCACCAGGGGGCTGCCCGCTGTTAAGCTCTCGGGCCACAGTGGCAGGGTGCGGTCCTCGTAGCGGGTGCCACCCTTGGGAGCTGATTGGCGGCTCAGCGTGTTGTTGGCGCTCGACGGCGGCGAGGATGAAGAGTTGCGTGCACCAGCGTCCTCGTGAGAAAGTCGGTACTCGCGCCAGCCAGCGTTCTTGTAGACTTCCCGCAGCTCAACGTGCTGCCCAAGTTGTACAGGGAGCTAGTACGGTAAAAACAAAACAGGAAAAAACAATGTTGATGAAAGTGAAGAACAACGTTCAAAAAAGCCATGTGCCAAATAGTAGATAAAGAAGTACATTGTCCTGTCCACTACGTTCTCGTGTCTCATCTTTAGCGCAGTTATAATTTTCCTGGATAAAACATATGTTCTGAAAAATTTGAGCTCACAAGGAGCGGTTCACAGTGGGCGACATGAGTACAGTCGATCCCGGATACATCTAATTTCAGGGGAATCATGAAACAGTTCAACATACCGAAAATTTCGAATACAACGCATGCCTACTTAGGGCATAAAAATGTTGTCAGTTGGCACCAAAGCCTGCGTTATAGAAACAGTTCATGACAGCGTTTACTTGATGCTGTTCCAAGCACCAGTACTCACTTCTTTGAAACTCCAAGAGGATCAATATTTATCTTGACTTCTGACCGTGATCTAAACGAGTAGTGCACAATTCGGCAATGCCGCAAGAGGGACAACCAAGCAACATGCTACCAAAACAACAAAAGAACATAGCCCATCTGCAAACGTTTTGGCAATGGTGCCAAGAGGTCGACTTGACATTACCGTATAAACAGGAATATAAGTCGTGATATTTTCAATAAAATAATAAGCTAAGGTCGCCCCTCGTCTTATATAGCAGTGTCTAGCCGAAAGTGCGCCGCTGTCTGGCAACATGTGGCTTGCATGTGCTTGAGAAGCCGGACACGGCCATATCCGCATCCAAATCCAATCGCAGGCTGTTTTTTCTCTCCGTCTGTTTTCTTTGTGTTCATGATTTGCTTTCGATCTGTTCTGAGTTTTCGCTCTGCTTGACATTGCGCTGCATATTTAGTGATGTTTTTTTTTTTGTTCACAGAATATGAGTAGCGGTGCGAGGAGGCAGTACTCGGCTGCATTTGAACTAGATATTGTTGAGTATGCAGAAGCGAACGGGAATATGGCTGCTCAGCGCCCCTTTGGTGTATCGGAAAAAAGCGTGCGCTATTGGAGGGCGCAGAAAGGCAAGCTGCAGATATGCAATCCTCGAAAAATATCGTTTCGTGGACGCAGTGCCGTTCATCCGCAGCTGGAGGATAAGCTAGCGGACTTTGTGCGGGAAGTTCGTGCGCGCTCGCTGCCAACGACCGTGGATACCATTCGCAAGAAAGCAGTGGAACTCGCTCGAGAAGCTGGGCTCACGAGGGAAGAGTTTCGTGAACCAAACTCTTGGGTGCGTCGATTTGTGCGACACAAATGATTTTCTCTCCGGCGGCGCACATCCATTTGTCAGAAGTTGCCGGAGGAGTTCGAGGACAAGCTCATAAACTTTCAGCGCTTCGTGAACCGGCTTCGGAAGCAGAACGACTACATGATGGTGCAGAATGGCAACGTCGATGAGACCCCCATGTGATATGACATGCCTTCGTCGACCACGATCACGCAGCGCGGTGCCAAGGATGTGAAGCTGTTGTCCACTGGCAACGAGCACTCGCGTTTCACCATCATGCTGGCATGCACGGCAGATGGTAGAAAGCTTCCGCCCTTCATCATTTTCAAACACAAGACAATGCCGAAGGAAGTGTTCCCGCCCGGTGTTGTTGTTTGCGTCAACAAAAAGGGACACATGAATGAGGCCATGATACTCGAATGGATAAGAGTGGTGTGGAACTGTCGGCCAGGTGCACTGCTGTGTCTTCGCAGCACGCTGGTGTTGGATGCGTTTTGTGGCCACTTAACCGACGCAGTGAAACGCGCACTCTGCGACGGGAAAACGGACCTCGCCATGGTACCAGGTGGTATGACGTCCACCCTCCAGCCGCTCGACGTTGTGCTAAACAAGCCGTTCAAGGACCAAGTGCGGCTGGAATACCAAGAGTGGATGTCCGGCGACAACCCCAAGACACCGACAGGCCGCCTACAGAGGCCTTCGCTTGCAACTGTTTGTGGCTGGGTGCTTTCCGCCTGGCGTTCCTTGCCGGATTCCATGGTGGAAAATGCTTTCAAGAAATGTTGCATCAGCAACTCCCTGGATGGCACTGAAGACGACGCACTGTGGGAGGCGGCCAACAACAAACTCTCGTCTTCAGAAGACAGTGGTGCTTCGTCGGTCGAATAGGAGCAGTTGCAATGGTGGTTGAGGGGAGCTCTGACGATCGGGGTGCAGTGCGCCCAATTCGCAAATAAATGTGGTTAGGCAGTTTTGGGTTGTTTTCCTTTTTTTTTTTTTTTCGGTAACCTGAACTTGGGGGGTCGACCTATATTCCCACTCGACCTATAGTCCGGTTTACACGGTACTTATTATTCTTCATCTTCCCATACTCTAAAGTTCAAGTTTTCCAAACAGGACCAGGTAATTAAATTACGTCGTTGCTCTGCATTTATGTAATCACGGCAAACTGTCGCATTCAAGACGCCTCATTTTGTTGCATGTGAATCCCGATTACGTCACAAAGCTGTGCAAAGCCGAAAAGGCAAAGCTCATAGAAATCTGTGCACTGTTCATTATTCTCAATGCTGGCTGGATCATGCTAACCAATTAGTAGCATCAGAGTTATCCGTCTTGTAGGTTTTCCACAGAAACTACATGAGGCATACGGCCACTAAGTGCAGACATATCACACGCACCTGAGATGTGAACTTGACAACACGTGCAGAGAAGCGGCCTTTCTGCTTGGTGATGTAGGTTAGCCGCGTGACGCCACCGGCCTCTAAAAGCGAACGTGCAAAGTCACTGTTGCGCACAATCACTTCATTCAGCGTGGCAAGCACCGCCGCTATGGTGTCGTCGGAGGTGCCCACGTCGTGCTGCGGGTTGCCGTTGGGCAGCTTTTGGACCAGATCACTCATGGCATATTTGCCTGCAACAAACAATGTACATTAGGCAAACATGTAGAATAATATTACTAAGAATCAGTGGGGTGTAATGTCCCAAAACAAAGATATGATTATGCGATGCCATAGTGGAGAGCTACAGAAATTTAGACTGCCTGGGGCTCTTTAAAGTGCCTCTAAATCTCAGCACATGGGCCTCAAGCCTTTTCGCCTTCATCGAAAATGCAAGCGAATGTGTAGGATATTTAAAACATTGGTTGGACCTAGGCAGATTATAACTTTTGAAGTGAAAACTTGAGTGCAAACCAGGACAAACCAGAAAGAAGTGATGAGACAAGCACTGGAGTCATTAGTCAGTACTAGTGTGACTTGTCTTTACGGTCTGTCCTGGTTTGCACTGAAGCTTATACGTTGAAATGTAAGAGATATACACTGAACAACATTGCGCTTTCCACTTATACGCAAGCAAGTTCATTAGATGTGAGCTTTACTGATGTTTTAATTTCTTTACGACAGCATACTTCCAACTCCGACATATGCATGTTGTTCTCTATAATCCCTGAATTTACTATAATCTCCACACTGCCTGTGCACGCATTTACTTATTTATTTATTACCCACCGCAGAAGCAGCCAATACATTGGGAAATGAAATGTGCGTGCAAATATAGAGTGCTCCCAGCCTAAAATGAGACATCGGAACTTTCACCATAACTAGTGATACGTACTAGCTCAAGATACCCATTTCGCATTGCCACGAATCTGGCCACAAGCGATATCCGATGTAGCTACTGGAGCCAAAACTGAAAAATGTAACACGAACTGAAGTGACGATGGAACGATGGAACGTTGTGACGATGGAACGCGTTTATTTACAAGATGGGTAATGCAGAGGTGTAGCTCAGCGAAGGATCAACAGCGTCGCTCGCGAGCCAGTCGAGCCTCTTCCTCCTCTTCGTCGAATCTTCGCTAGCGCGTTTCAATATAATAATGTCTGGTGTATTAAGTACCTAAACCCCCCTTTGATTATGAGAGACACCGCAGCGCTGGGCTCTGGAAATTTCGACCATCTGGTGTTAACGTGACTGGCAACGCTCAGTATATGGACCTCTATCATTTCGCCTCCATCGAAATGCGATAGCCACGGCCGGGATCGAACACGCGACCTTTGGGCCAGCAGCTGAGCACCGTAGCCACTGTTCCACCAAGGCAGACGTATAACACAAACTGAAGATGGTGGAAATGAAAGTATGCGCATATCTTAAGCCTAAACTGTAGCATATTAATCCAAGAGCACTGCACATAATGCTACAAGACTCAAAAAGCTGAGAAGCTGTCACAGAAAGGTGGAGTCATAATCAAGGCATTCATAATATGCGGGGTTTAACATACCAGAACCACGATATGATTACATTAGAGGTGCCGCAGTGGAGAGCTCCAGAAATTTCCACCACATGGTTTCTTTTGACGTGCACGTACATCGCATAGTATGTACAATATAGACACGATATTGATGTTGGTGCTGTGTAAAATACAACAATGATAACTTTTGTGTGCTTGTTTGCACAACACTGATGCCCTCTGCTCTAATAACCTCAGTAGAATCTCGATGATACGAATTCGAAGGGAGCACGCAAAATATTCGTGTCAGCCCGAATTCGAATGAACCACAAACAAATTAAAGCTGATAAAAATGATGAACAAGAACTTCATTGGCAACTACACCTTGCTGAAAAAAATCTGTGATGTTCTTTTGAACTTTCCTGTCTTCCCCGTCTTTTAATTAAGTGCTGCGGTTTCCTCGCTCATGCTGCTGGCGCAGCGCATTCACAGTTGACATCAGAGCGAGCGAAAGCGGTCGAACTCATTGGAAGTTCACTCGCTTCCCCGCGCAGCCGGAAAATGGCGCCGTGAAGCCGACACGAAAAAAAAAAAAAGAAAGAAAGAGTCCTGGAGAATTCAAGCAAAAATGCCAGCACGGCCAGAAAATCACATTCCTGCCCGCAGAAAATGTTCACATTCGTTCTGCTCCTTGTATACATGCCACCCCCGCCGCCGCCATCACCACTTGAAAATTTATTTCATTTTGCCCGTTTCCTGAGTACTGAAGTTCATACCGAGTTGTAATTATGCATACAAGGCACTGAAAAGAAGCAGTTTACACCTTTACTATTGTTATTTCGGAAGACATGCCAGCCGAAATGTCACGAGCGGACACAGCGGCGCCGACGGATTCAGCCAGCAGTGCAAAAGCAAGACACGTTCGGGCAAGCCGACTTGCTGCTGCTGCACCTTCTTCTATTTCCGGTGCTATCAGCGATCGTAATTTAAACTAGGCTCTTGACGACTGCATCCTTGTCAAGGCCGTGAGCTTTGACGTGCCGCGCGGGTAGTTCGCGATAGCGCCGACGCGACCCACCGCCGATGCCTTCGCCACCATATTGATTTGCGGCTGGTTGTTGACATCACGTGGTTTGAGAGATAGAGTGATAGAGCAGCTGGTGAAGCCAAAGTCGTGAAGCAAAAAGGCGATACTATGCTATCGCGTGGCGGGAAAATTGGTCTCGAACCGATTTTTTCGCGTCGGCCTCGCCGTGTGTTTTTGCCAGGTTGCGCCGCTGGCATGCAGCGGTCAATCGCACATTCGTATCATCCGCGGTGGCTGGGGCAATCATTCGTATAACACCGAATCAGGGTGTATTTTATATATTGTAGTCCATCCTAAACAACCCTAAAATTCATATCATCGTGAAATTCATATAAACCGTAATCGTATCATCCAGATTCTACTGTAATAACATTTCTAGGATGTGCACGCTGCATGTTGTTTTAAACGCAAATGCATTTCTTAGTCGGGCTTTGTCAGGCATCTGTCGGGATTCGTTAATCGCTCTCTCCCAAGCAACAGCTGCGAGTGCTCACGCTTATCCTCGCCCCTAGCAACCAGTCTTTGTAATGCGAGAGTGTAGGAGAGGGTATGTGCGGTGATTCACCACTCCTTCTCTCGCCGTTAGTTCTCTCTCCTCTCTGCACCCCACTTTCCCGTCCGCTCACACCTCACTCTCCACCTTTCGCTGGTTGGGTGCCTCTCAAGAACATTCGGAAATGTGTGCTAGAGACGCCGCTATGAAACGCAATGCCAAGCCATGAACGCTGTTTGTTTTGTTCAATTCATAGTATTTTTTAACAGTGCACGCTAGCAACTAGAGCTGCAAATGCACACCGCGTGCGGTGAATGATGCCATTGGCCTGCATAGCGTAACAAGAAAAAAAGAAAACATTATCATTCTACTGCTGGGTTCTCACGTGCGAAACGCCGTTATGGACGGTAGGCAATGCATCCGCATTTCCTCACAATTCCCTTCAGAGAGGTGGGGATTTTTTTTTTTCTTCTCGCTGTCCAGTGCCATTGCCAGGTAGATGTTGCCATTTTGTTTACAGAGAGTTGAACTGTTACCATTCCCAGTGCTGTTTCGATTTCTTTTGTAACTCTGAACGTATCCTTTCGCATAGTGATATACGAAAGGCGCCAAATTAAATGCATCTTGACTATTCCCTTCGGGAAGGTGAGGGCATTTTTTTTTTCTCACTGCTCACTGCCATTTCCAGCTAGATGTTACAATCCTGTTTACAAGGAGCTGAACTGTAACCATTCCCAGCGCTGTTTCGATTTCTTTTGCAACTCTGAACGTATCCTTTTGCATAGTGATATACAAAAGGTGCAAAACTAAATGCATCTTGACTGCAATCACAAAGATAGTTAGGTTTCGATAGTCATATTAGCAGGTAATTGCAGCAAAACACCAACATACCGTATTTACTCGAAAATAGGTTGGGGACAAATGTAGGTCAACCACTACTTTATTGTTCTACAGGAGGAAAAAAAAATATTCAAATGTAGGTCGACCAATGTTTCTTTTTTAGTTTAAAAACAGGCAAATTGAAACGTAGCGCACCTTTATTAACATAACTTAGCACCCTAATCACTGCCCTGGCCGTCATCTTGTCAGATTTGAAGATGATGTCGTTATTGGACTCTTCGCAAGCATCCGCGATAGGCTTGTGCGAATCTTTGAATGCTTCAAATATTCGAACAAATAGTTCAGTATTCGAGTTCGCTTCAATTCGAATTTCAATTATTGAATATTTTCGAAGTATTCGCAATGAACGAATAAGTGTATATTATTCTGCATGTTATCGCCTGTAAAGATAGTTTCACTGCAATGTAGCAGTGCCAAGCTGTGAAAACACCTATCCTAGGAAAATTCGCTTTGCCGCAAAGCTTTACATCAAATTCAAAAGGGCTCTGCAACACTTATCAAACATGGCCAAAAACACTGCCGATCGGTAGTCGAAGCTACCGAGAATACGCAAGCAAACATTATAGCGCAGCATGCGGCCTGTAATTCACGATAAATTTTCAAAACTTAAAGTTGCTTTCGTCCCTCGGCAAATGACACTACAAGCTCAAAAATCACTTGTCACAGCCATTGGCCGATTTGAGCATGGCGTGCTCGTCGTTACCGAGGCCGCCACAGGAGACCGCCGCTTGTCCATGAGTACATGCGTGATCACACTGAAAAGCCGCAAATTCCAAGAAAAAAAAATAGAGGTGCTCAAGGTCACGAGGTGTGTGTGATGTATTTTCTTTCGCCATGACATTCCTCTCTGCTTAACTTCCAGCTATTTCGTTGGGATGAAGAGAGAATGCAATTGCAGCGTGCGACAAATTTTTGGAACTCCGCTCGTAATGGACTAATTCTAGAAACTTTGCGGCGGTAAATTTGCGAGGCAGCAAGCATGTTTTACTGGCTCCATGGCTACTTGAATAAGTGTTGCAGGGCCCCTTTAAAGGAACATGTTACCCTCAAACCAATTCATTTTATTAAGCTTGTTATGATGACTTATATGATCCAAGTATAATAAATATTAAAACGTTAGGTACTTACAGGTTATCACTCGCATCCTACCGAAACTACAACTCAAGGTTGTTTCGACTTCCTTTGAATGAAAAAAAAAAAAGGCATTTGCATAGAGCCCCTATTTCACTTCGAAAGAAATAATGTGTAGGTTAGTTAGGTCATGATAAATCTTCCTTTTTTTTATATGTCATATATACCATTCGAATTCGATTCAAAATTATTCGATCGGAATCACTATTCACTTCAAATTCGCTTCGAACCTAAAATTCACTATTCGCACAAGCCTAATCCGCGACTTTCCAAATGACGTCGTCCTTGCTGCCACTGCTGCTGATTGTTGCTGGGCCACGAAAGGCAGGATGCTGACATTTGCAAGCAAACAGACGGTCCTGCTGCTTTCGCCAACCCCTCATCAACATCTCATTTACACAGCACTCGCACTGCACAGCACAATTGCTTGAGTCCTCGGTAAAAAGTACTACTTGGCACTTCCAAGTCACCTGTGTAGCTCTGTCAACGTGACATCGTCTAGGAACCAGGGCGCAGCCCCTAAAGGAAATGTGAACCGTCACCCCATCACGCCAATGCTACAATGGACAAAGTGCGAGGCGGCAAGGCCTCAGGCCAGTGTCAGTGGGGCTACGTGCCGGAAGGCAGTACCGGAAGCACGGCTAGCGGGCTAGGGACTTCAGTGCCAATACATAGGGAAATCGTGGGTTTCATCGCAAACACAACGGAGCGGCTGCATTTCACGGGCGCGGTATACGACTATTGTATGAAAAACTTTTTTCACAATTACTTAGGTAGTCGAAAAGGAGAAAGGGGGTCTTTAGTTCAGATTTTATGGTACATTTGCAGCAGGAACTGCTTGAAGAACAGCGGGCGTAGTAGTTGAACGCCATAATCTTGGCACTTTTGGTTTGATCGTGAATACAGGTCGAGATTCTTTGGTCATGAATATAGGTCAACAGCTGGTTATGGGCAACACTTTCAGAAAAAAAAAAAAGAACGATTTACATTTGAATAAATATGGTAACCAACTTCTCCGACCCTTCTAGATATTCCATTATAGGCCACTCTCAATAAACAAAAATCTGTTAAACGAAACTGCTAATTAAATGGAACAACTACCTGTGATATGATGGGCCTTGTACTTCCATTCTGCACTCCTGTTCAACCCTCAGTAAACGAAACTCCAGTTAAATGGAACACAATTTCCCGGTCACTTCAGGTTGCACTTAATGAGAGGGCGCTGTATGTGCATTTTCAACTGCAGAAGCATTAAGCTATCACTCGTGTAGAACCCCGCTCCCCAGAGTATTCGAGGAAGTGTAAATAAGCAAAACAAATCCCAGCCCACCTCGCAAGAAAGCAGCTTCACAACTCACCGATCAGCTCCTTGTTCCGCTGATCCATGGCAAGGTTGCGCAATGCTGTCGCCACTGCACACACAACCCTGTCCACTTCCATCCGGAGCAGCTCCACCAAGACAGGAAGGCCCCGGTCTTTTCTCACAGCCGCCCTGATATCTATGCTCGGCTGCAAGCAAGCACATGCAATTAATTGTTACGAGAGCGGAAGAGAGGAGTGGAAAGAAAGAGTAAATATAATCCGGCAGTTTAACGTAGCAAAACGAACACAGGGTTATGAAATATGGTGTAATACAGTGCTTCTCAAATGGGGGTCCACGGACCATAGGGACGAAACCACTTCTATCAACCGTGAAACACTCAATCGCTTTTTTTTTCTTTTTTTTAGTTTAGTCTGGCTGTAATTCAAAGTAAATACAGAAACAGGTGAAGCGTGCCTGCAGATGTGCAACTCTTTTTAGGCACGACTGTGCCACGTACTGATGAACTGTCCTAAATGATGTGATGTGGCATGTTTGATGTTTTTGGTAGCAATAAAAGGCAACTATTTCACGCTCCAGTTGTGTTAATTTACCTACGTACCCCCCCTCCCTCCCTTTCGTCCGCTGCAAGAAGTCCCTCATCACTTCCACCAGTCCACAAGGGTTCCCCGACACATTCGTGGCCGAGAACCGCTGGCGTAATAGAATGCTGTGTATTCGTTTTTGACCTTCTAAAGTTTTTTTTCTTTAATGCGCGCCTTTATCGAAGCATACACATGTTTGTCTTCAAACGCCAATGAAATGAGACATACGTGACCAGGAATGAAATCTATGCTGGTACGTTATGGTCACAACTCTAAGAGCACATTATCGAATGGAGGCTATATGATCCACTGTACACTTGAAACTTGCAAAGTTTATAATCTTAGACAGTTTTGGACCCCCCCCCCCCCCCACTGTAGCAGTGGCGAAGCTAGGGGGTGGCACACAACAGTGTCTAAGCCATTTCAGAGGATCCGGCGTTCACACCAAGCAACAACAACAAAAAAGCGAAGCACAAAGCACGAGACGAGGATTAGGCCAAGCCGTAGAAGCAACTGACAACACGCACACACCGCGATCCCTCAAATGCCCGCTGTGCTCGCAACACTGAGCTGTCTCCGAGTGATGCTAGGCCTGCCACTTGGCTGTGGTAGATGTTTAACGAATACTTGATTATTTAAAGCAAGAAGGCAAACGCTACGAGTAGCCAAGAAGCATGGCCTCAGATATATACAATCGCAATTTCTGCTTGAATTTCGACACTGGCATGACTTCCAGTGACAGTCTGTGCAAACTTTCAGTGCTGGCAACCCAGCAAAATATTTTCAACATTACTGACAGCGTGCGATTCAATTCTGTGTTGCACCTGACGAGCCAGCCAACGTTTGAAAAATTAAACGACGCACTGTGGGGCACCTGAATTTTCGGTCATAAGTTTACTTTACTTCGATGAGACTAGTGGAGGTGCCACAAAGGTGTCCGAATAAATGACCGTGTCCAAACTTTTCGTGTTCGAACAGTCGGTGACAGTAATTGTCTAGCACTGTGGTTCTCAATAGGGGTCTGCGGACCCCATTCTGCGAAGCCATTTCTATGATCCGCGAAACCCTCACCCGCTTTTGTTTTGTGACACATATTGATGAACTGTCCAACATGAGGTGATGAGCCCGTTTGTTTCATGTTTTTTATAGCAATAAAAGGCACCTGTTTCCCGCTCCAGTTGTGTTAACTCAACTGTGTGAGGGTACGTACTCACGTACGTACCCTCACCCCCTCCTTCCCCTCCACTGCAAGGGGTCCCCCATCACTACCACCAATCCACAAAGCGTCCCAGACACAACCATGGCTGAAAACCTTGGTGTTGGTCTAACAAAAATTTTTTCAACACCTTTTGTCAAATGATGTCCACATGAGCTTTATATATGTTTTCTTACACCTTCTAGAAACCTGAATTCTTTCCTTTTTTCAACTTTTCAAAAGTAATTTTCAGTAATCAGAACATTTATAACTGTCATCTATGTTGCAATACAAAGCTACATGAGTCGTAGTACCCACAGTGGTAGGAGCAGGGTTTTGATATTCAGTTTCAATGTTGTTTTTTATTTTGTACATTGCAATGTTTCATTGTTCGAAATGAGATTGCCCTTGATAGCGGGTGCACATTTGTCCTTCAGGTGAAGAGCGGGCTCCACATTCCCACAATCGAAAACGGTGCATAGTAGTGACCAGCCAACACACTCAAACCTCCTTATACAGTCGACGACCGATATTTCGGACGCCTAATTTTTCGGACATGCTCGATAATTTGGACATTTACTTGGCACCAGGACATACCCTATATATTCAATGTATTTTGCAGCTTGAAATTTCGGACACGTAAGGACAGGCTGTTCGATATTTAGGACTTTCCAAGCGTCAGTCGAGCCGACCGCCATCATTTTTGGTGCCGCCGCGATCTTGCTTGTTTACTTTTTCACCCAGTAGCCTCGAACCGGTGCTGGCCGTATGCGCCGCGTCCGCCAGCCTCCGCTAGGGTGGCTACCTCGAACTGCTGAATCGAGGCTATTTCCGCATCAGCGTCGCTACCGAACAATATTTCTTTCTTCTCTGCTGTGACCGTTGGATGGACAGGACCGAATCGACTGACTGTTCGCCTGTGCGTGTGCCATGTGTGTTGCCTAGCTACAAGCGCTGATTCAGAATGGATAAGAGATCGCCGATGTCGTCGGCCTCAAGAGCTCCGTTGAAGCGCGGAAAGTATGTCACCATGTCGATGGCGAAAAAAGCTGCCATCATCAAGCTCGTTGACACTGGCCGATCGCGGGCAGATGTTGCGAAAGAGTTCCACATTTCTAAACAGACCATTTTGGACTACATCAAAAATAGGCAGAAGATTTCGGAGGCGGCGGAAACGTCTACTGGATGTCGTCAGATGAATGTCAGCCAAGGCACCTACCCTAAGCTCAACGAGGCCCTTCTGGTTTAGCTGAAGTCGACAGTGGCCAGCAAGGTTCCCGTCTCCGGGAGCCTTCTCAAACAGAAAGTTGAGACGATGGCGCTTCAAATGAACATTGAAGGATTTCAGTTCAGTGACGGCTGGCTAAGAAACTTCAAGAAGCGCTTTGATCTCAGTTTTAAAAAACTGTGTGGCGAAAGTGCAGCTGTTGACCTCAGCGTCGTTGCGAATTGCTGCTCTGAAAAGCTGCAGTCCCTTTTACAAGAGTACTCGCCAGATGATACTTTCAACTGTAACCAGACCGGGCTTTTTTTCAAGCTGATGCCAGAAAAGACACTTGCCTTTGCTGGCGACCATTGCCATGGTGGCAAACATAGTAAGGAGCGACTTACTGTACTCATCGGTAGCAACATGTCGGGCACAGAAAAACTGCCGATGCTCGTCATCAGCAAGTCGAAAGCTCCGAGGTGCTTCAAAGGCGTAAAGTCCCTGCCCGTTTTGTACGAGGCCAACAAAAAGACCTCGGTAACTCAGCAGCTTTTTGAAAGCTATGTGAGAAGACTGGACCACGAATTTGGTTTAGAAGGCCGCAATATTTTGTTGTTTGTCGACAATTGCACTGCACAAGGGCACATTACCAATTTAAAGGCTGTGCGCGTCGAGTTCTTGCCACCGAACACGACAAGTGTCCTACAACCGATGGACCAGGGTTTCATACGCACTCTCAAAGTGCACTATCGGTCACGCTTGCTTTCGCATGCGGTGGTGTGCCTCGGCAGCGGAAAAGCGTACTCGGTCGATTTGCTTGGGGCATTTTTTGGCAGCAGTGGTTGCGGCTGTGTACAAGCATTGACCCTTGTGTTCGCTCCGTCCAGGTGGTGAATCTTATCTGCACGGCTTACTGGACAGCACTGCTTAGCTGCTCCTGCTGTATCCTCGGCACGTGCAGCTACGTCACTGAACTTCAGCCGCTACGTTCGCCATCTACCGGACAAGGAGCCCTACAAATAGACCATCGTTTGCCATTGCTTGTCATTTTGGCAGCAGTGGTTGCGGCTGTGTACAAGCATTGACCCTTGTGTTCGGTCCGTCCAGGTGGTGAATCTTATCTGCACGGCTTACTGGACAGCACTGCTTAGCTGCTCCTGCTGTATCCTCGGCACGTGCAGCTACGTCACTGAACTTCAGCCGCTACGTTCGCCATCTACCGGACAAGGAGCCCTACAAATAGACCATCGTTTGCCATTGCTTGTCATTTTGGCAGCAGTGGTTGCGGCTGTGTACAAGCATTGACCCTTGTGTTCGCTCCGTCCAGGTTCGTTGCTTCTCGGTGCACTCCTTTCTGTTTTGCCTTTTTTCTCGCTTCCACTGCTGCCTTCAATATATTTTATATAGTTTATTTTTTTTTATTTTGTGTCTTGTGTCTTGTGTGTTTGTGTCTTTATTTTGTGTCTTGTGTTCCGTATTTTGAGTATACTTTTCTTCATTACTTATCTTGAGAATGCCGACTTGCGCGGAACTAGCAAAGGAAATACAGGCTCTTCGGCAGGAGGTCGCAGAGATGAAAACAAGCCTTGTGATGTTCAATGACCTCTGTGAACGTGTAAAGAATGACAATGAGGCACTAACTAAAGAAAACAAGGTCCTGAGGGATGAGAATAAGAAGCTCAGTAAACAAATGTGTGATCTCGAACAATACTCGCGACTTAATAATGTTGAACTGAAGGGAATCCCTGAGACAAAGGGCGAAGACTGCTTGGCAGTCGTCCAGGTTATCGGTGAGAAGATTGGTTGTCCAATTGCCGATACAGACATAGACGCCGCGCATCGGGTGCCCGCAAAGAATGGAAGCAACATTATTGCGCGATTCTGTTCGAGAAACAAGAAGGCTGAATTCGCTAAAAAGGCAAGAAAGGCACGCTTGTCTACCACAGATATAGGGTTTTCTCAGAGCACAGGCCCTAAACCTGTGTATGTGAATGACCATCTCACACCAGAACGAAAGCGCCTCTTTGCACAGGCACTTGCGCTTAAGAAGGCCAATCAGTGGAAGCATCTCTGGACTGACAATTGTACAATCAAAGCCAGAAAGGCGGATGACAGTCGCGTGTTTCGAATTGCATGCGCAGAAGATCTCCGAGTATTCTCCTAGTTATCCTATCAGTCCCCATTTTAAACTGACCTTAGATCAACATGGCTGCGTTCTCGTGCCAGCAAACATCAGAATTGCTACTCGAGAAGTCACCATCCCTATCACTACTTCACTTAAACATTCGCAGTCTTAGAAAGCACCAGGATGACCTTGTTGCGTTGATTTCCTTGCTTAAACATTCATTCTCTGTCATATGTTTATCTGAAACTTGGTTGTCTGGTAATGAGGATAACTTGTACGGATTGCCAGGTTATTATTCCGAATACTGTAATCGGGAGCTCTGTCGTGGTGGCGGTAGTGCCATACTTGTCAACTCATCCTTAACCTACACACGCCGTAGTGACATAATCTTTAATAATATTTTATGTGAATCTGTTTGGCTTGAATTCAACCATAGTGTTATACCATTGAATAGCCGTAGTACTATTATAGCTTCCATTTATCGGTCACCTTCATCGTCGTATTCCGATTTTTGTAATCAGTTAAGCATCATTCTTAATAACCTAGTGAGGGAAAATAAAAACGTTGTCTTATGTGGTGATTTTAATATAAACATTATTGATCCTGATAGTGCATCGTGCTTAGAATATATGAACTGTTTATACTGCTATGGCTTTACGTCGCATATCTCAGCACCAACTAGAAACGATTTACTAGGTTCGAATACCCTAATAGATCATATTATCTCCAACATTTCCACTGAACACGTAGCAGGTGTAATAGATCATAGCATTACAGACCATAATCCCGTATTTTTCATTCTGGGCTCCGAAAATACCAAGGCCAGTAACATCTCTACGAAACGCCGATTCGACGCGGACAAGTTTGTGCAAATAATTAGCACAGTAGACTGGACATCGGTGACTAATCTAGACTGCGCAGAAAAGGCTTTTGAGTCTTTCTCAGAAGTAATAGCTTCAGGTATAGATGCATCCACCACTTCCACTACTGTCACGAAGTGGTATCGTTCCCCTAGAAATCCATGGATAAGCAACTCGTTGTTGAAGTCCATTAATAAAAAGAATAACCTTCATAAGAAACTAAAGTCGCAGCCTTATAATCTCGCATTAAAATGCCGCTTTCACAAATACTCAGCAACATTATCTTCCTTACTTAGGTGTGCTAAGCGCAATTACTACCGGAATCTCATTGTAAAAAACACGGGTAACACGAGACGCTGCTGGGAAATCATTAAAGATTTCTTGAACATGAAAAAATGCTCAGATCCCACAATAAAAATAAAGCAAGGCGACGAAATGTATACCGACCCTGTAAGAGTGGCCGCCACGTTCAGTGAGCATTTCTGCGCATCTGCGGATACGCAGCAATCACCAGGTCATTTACGCAATATACCACGGTGTACTCATTCTTTTTATCTTCATTCCACGTCTGCAGATGAAGTCCTTCAGGTCATCACATCACTAAAGACCACAAGTGCTGGTTTAGATAATATTGATCCTTTTAAAGTAAAGCTAGTTTCAAACTTAATATCCCCACCTTTGGCAGTAATTATTAACAAGCTGTTTTCAGCGGGTGTGTTTCCGAGCTGCCTTAAGGCTGGTAAAATAGTTCCAGTTTTTAAGAAGGGTGATAAGACTTTTGTACAGAATTATAGGCCAATCTGTATCCTGCCTTTCTTCGGTAAGGTAATTGAAAAGTTATTCCACATTAGATTAATGCGTTATCTGAAAAAATTTAATCTTTTATCTCCACAACAATTCGGATTCCGTCATGGATATTCAACTGAGCTGGCACTAATTACCCTAACGGAGGAAATTAAACAAGCTATTGATAGAGGGTTACTTGTGGGATCTGTGTTTATCGATTTGACGAAGGCTTTTGACACTATAAATCATCACGTTCTACTTGCTAAACTCGAATCATTTGGTATGTCTGGTCCGCCACTAAGTTTTATTAAGAGCTACCTCAGTAACCGGTCTCAAATGGTTCATGTTAATGGCCATCTTTCAACGCCCAAGTTAATTAACGTCGGTGTTCCACAGGGATCAATTTTAGGCCCACTTTTATTTTTGATGTTTATTAATGATCTACCTACAATTCTTACAAGGACCAAGTGCATACTTTACGCTGACGACACAACCATCTTTCAGTCATCTAAATCAGTTTCTTCACTCCAGTCTGACCTCAACACAGATTTACATAACATAACTTTATGGTGCCAGGCCAATTATCTTCAGATCAATGCTACTAAAACCGTGTTTATGTTGTTCCATTCCCCGCGCATTTCACTTGACATACAACCTTCCCTTCACATTGGTAATACCGTCATAAACATTTCCAGTGAAGCGCGGTTTCTTGGCGTCATCTTAGATAGCGAACTAAAATTTCATAAACATGCAGCATCACTCGCTAAAAAGATTGCATTTGGTATTCACGTTATCATCAAGACACGAACTTATTTTCCGCCTCACATCATACGTACTTTGTATTTTGCTTATATTCATAGCCATATTTCGTATTGCGTATCATCTTGGGCCAACACATATTTCACGCACATCGAACGTTTGCAGCGACTTCAGAATCAAGCAGTTAGATTAATGACTTTCAGCCCATTTTACTTCTCCTGCAGCTCGTTGTTTTCTCAGCTTAACATACTCCCATTGAGACAATTATTTTGTCATAGAATGTCCGTTGTCGCCTTTAGACTCATCACGCATGACATTTTTATTGCATGCATTGATCATCGTCACTTAACTAATGGTAACATCACCAGGTTTTCTCAGTGCTATAATCTTCTTTTGCCGGCCGTAAGGACAAACTACGGCAGGTTCTCAACCTTATTTACTAGCATAGCCATTTGGAATTCATTGCCTTTCGAATTGAAATCATCGCATAACATCCATATTTTCACTTCGCGTAGTAAGAAATATTACGTTCAGGAATTAATCAACTCATCCGATTTGTGTAATTAACTGTTAATAGCTTTCCACAGTTCTGTGCTTTTTTACTACTTCAATTTGCCATTGTATAATTGATAACACTGATAATGAAACGTGTTACATTTGTCACGTAGAGTTCATTAATATTGTTTTTTTGTCTTAACTTGCTTTTGATTGTTTCCTAGTTATTTTTCAATAGTGAGTATTACCATTATGTTGTGTATTGATCGTGTTTTTATTGTTAATCAAGATTATTCATTATTACTCACAAGACCGTATACTATTGCTGTATTTTTTTGTAATTACCCCATCCATGTAGCCATAGGAGGTCCCCCTGTCAGTTTCTCTGAAACTTTGGGACCTCCTGCTGTAATAACGCTAACCATGTAACTCAACTGAACTATTTAATAAACTTGACTTGACTTGACTTGACTTGACTTAGCATGCTCGTCGATGTGTGGAAGTCGATGGCATCGACAACGCTGCGCAACTGTTTCCACCATGCGGGATTTGTGTTGAATGGCGAGTCGGCCGCCTTGGACGAGGACAGCGTCGTCGACCACGTGTTGGGAAGCAAGCAGCTTAATGACGACCTTCGCACTGCGGGCGTCGATATTCCATCAGATGTCTCGTTTTCCGAGATTGCGTGTGTGGACAACGATTTGGAACTGTGCGCTGGCCTCACGGATGAGGAAATCATTCGGCAAGTGCTTGCGGAGTCCGAGAGTGACGATGACAACAACGACGACTTACCTGCAACAGCACAGCCGACCCAAGCCGAGCTGATGCAAGCGATCGCAACCCTTTCGTCAGCGTACAGCGACACGGCAACTCTAGCCGAAATCCGGGCGGACGTGCTCGCACGGAAGCGAAGCATGGTCCAGAAGAGTATCGATCACTTTTTCCGCCCTCCATCACAATAGTAACCCATAAAATGAGCATTTTTGGGGTACATTTGCTTTTTCGGACTGCCCGATTTTTCGGACATTTTCGTGGTCCCTTGAGGGTCCGAAAAATCGGTCGTCGACTGTACCAAAGTTGCACCTTACACAAAAATAAGTTCGTTATATCTGAAAATTTGTTATAAAGGTATACAGTAGGCTCTCATTAAACGAAACCTGAAGGAACCATGAAATTGTGTTTCGTCAGGAGTTTCGTTTACTGAGAGATGAGCAGGAGTGCTGAATTCAGGTACGAAAGCAATTGTGATAGAGGCAGCTGTTTCGTTTAAGCAGCAGTTACGTTAAACAGATATCCGTTTACCGAAAGTACACTGTGTTTCAAACATTAAATCCATTGCAACTCTTTTTCATTTGCTTCGTTACAACCAATATTTCGTTATATCCAGGTTCATTATATCGAACTTTGAGTGTAGTGGAGTGTCGCCTCGCCTTCAACCCCCCCCCCCCCCCCCCCCCCACCGCATCCCGAAAGCCTACCTGCCAGTAGCAAGCGGCCAGATTCTGAATGGCACCCGCTGCTGCCTCTAGTGTCTCCGGATTGGAGCACTCGGACAGCAGCGCCAAATATGGCTGCACAACCTCTGGCTGCCAGAGGAGTTCCATGCCGGACGGGGGATCCGACTGCGGCCGCGGAGACGTGCTGGCCGAAGCCGACGCCAGGGCCGATCCGGAAGACTCCTTCTTCTGCTTCTCCAGCGCCTCCTTCTTCTTCTTGGCTCCGAAACAGCCCAAGCTGTCGCCCACTGCACCAGGAGAATGAGAAGAGCACACGTGAACAGCCTAGCAAGTTTCAAACACGTAGTAATGAGAGGAGCGTAAATTCAAGGGCTTGTTTTCTTTGTTAGACACAAGTAGTAAAACACACACCTCAACATGCCCAAGTTCACTCCATTTAAAACGAGCACTGGAAATACCGGATTTTCTCTTTAAGTCATGAAGGTAGGTCTCGATATTGTCGGTACGTATTCTTCAAATTAATTTCCTTGGGCATCGATACATGAATACCAAAGCGATTTCCACGCTGTAAAGGAACCTTGAAAGCCAGCTGCCACAACTTTATTCCAACACGCTATGACAGCCCTTCGAATGGCAGTAACACCATCGAAACGGCCACCTTTCAGGCGTCTCTTGACATTTGGGAAAAGGAAAAAGTGTGCCGGACTCGCATTGGGGCCCTGTTGGGGCTGCGTCAGCCCTCATGTGAGCACAGTGCGCCTATTGTTTCCAATGTTCAAGAGAAGCCAGAAATGTTGCTCATTTGACAGCGTTCCCGCCATCGAACAGGCTGTCACAGCCTTATCGAACGAGGTCACAGCAGCTGACCTGCAGGGAGCCTTTGCCGCAGAGGAATCGCGTTAGAATTTGTGCATCCACAACCAAAGAATATGTGTCAATAGGATCAATAAATTCTTATTACAAGACCCAGTGACATTACTCTACCAACACACCTGCATATTGACAGTGAATAGAAGAAATCAGTTTTTTGTCAACTGGAAATCTTTCTTGCAGAGGGGTCTTCATAGATTTCCTAGCCATCTTCGTGCTATAAGTTCATGAATGAAGCTTTCTCCCTCTCGTGAACATTCCTGCAACCTGTGAGATCTGCTGAACCAATATAAGACTGACGAAACACACTTGAGAACACACCTTTGATGGCGGCGCCCGTGGCGCGCGATGGCGTCGGTGCCGGCGCGTGCTTGTCGTACTCGGGGTCTTCGACTTCCTGCAGCCGGTAGGAGAGGTTGCGCAGCGTGCAGACGCAGTTCTCCACGCTCTTGTTGTCCATGTCGTTCTTGCGCACCGCAGTCCGCATCAGGTGGAGTAAAGCGTCGCACAGACCCTCGCACTCTCGAAGCTTCCTCCGCGCGTACTCCCCGGCCGAGCTCACGTTTCTGGCGAGAGAAAACACGCGGAACGAAGAGCGATTGATTCATTTCAAAATGTTGCCTTGCATGGGCTGCAGATGCTGCCAGAGAACAACGAAAGAAAAAGGAATGTTGAACGAGTAGGGTAATAGCGTTAAAGAAGACCTCCAGCTTTGTCAAGCGCTTTTCTTTACCAGACCTCTTTAAACATAACTTGCAATAACTTACCCCTTAAGTATACTCAAGTATAGGGTATGCCTAAGTGTCTTGCACAATGAAGATAGGTTCACATGGAGTATGACATGAACGAGACAGTGGAGGAGGATGCCACTGAAACTGACCAAATCAAGGTGGTCTGTGTTGTCTACTAAGTGGCTGGAAATGCCCAATAAAATGTTCAGCCATGCCATCACAAAAAGCCTGCTCTTTTTTAACGGGCGCAGTGATCAAACAGGCTTACATATACAGTAGAGCCTAGATACATTTTCGAAAAAGAAATGCAGAAAATAACATACGATCCGAAAAAACGTGGTCTTGGAGAAAAGCAGACAACCAAGAAGAGGATAAAGAAGGCGCGTGCCTGTTCATGATGCTAATTTCCATTTGTGACTAAAGGGAATTCTTAAAGCTTAAACAGCATCGCCGTTAAAAACAGCCAAGGCTGTATGGAGATCCAGAGGAGTACCCCTTCACTAAAGGGCATTTCCTGCAAAGAGTGTGGGCCAAGGAGTGAACGTGCACGGAAGTGCCGTCGGCTGCCACGCTCACCTCAAGACTCCGTTGGCATTGCGAAAGACGATGGTCCAGTAGATCTCCTGGGGCTTCGTGTGGTCGCCCCTGTCACGGTTGCGGTCCCAGCCGGACAAGGGGATGATCACGTGGTTCACGAGCACTTGGAGGGCATCGTCGATGATTGGCCTTTTCAGCTCCTGCATAGAAAGGTCAACCGGTTTGTCGCAGGGCTCGTGCGATCATTACGCGAGCCAAGATGGTGCAGAGATACCCGAGAAACTGCGTCAGGAGACTGGCTACAAACTAGGAAATTAGGTTCGTGAGAGTCCGCATATTACGCAGTCTCATGGCAAATGAAAAAACGAGATCCACATTAATGCACCCTTTGAATGTGGGAAACATATAATCTTCGGATACAGAGAAGACTTTTGTTAAATAAATCCTGAAGGTACCACGAAAATCTGAGCCGTTTATCTGAAATTTCACTGACATAGAGAACACCAGGACACGTACGAAAGCAAACACATTAGGGGCATCGTTCCATTTAAAGGGATCGTAGAACAAGAATGAAACGTCCCAGTTGCAATTTTCCCTGCTCAAATGAGGATTGGATATACCAATTCCAAAATATTTTGGCATGATACTCAGGTTTTAATTAATGACGCCCAATTGAAATCACAGTATTTTTTTAGGCTCGCTAGCGACCATGCAGCACCATGGGCCGCTATAGGCACTAACATGTGACATCAGTGAAACGTGAGTAAGAGAAGTTACAAACTAAGTGTTAGCTCTAGTTTGTTCGAAAATAAATATATAGGAACCTAGCAAAGAAAAAAAGGAGCATGTTTGTGCTCGACTGTTTTCGAGGCCACCTCACGGCCGATTTAAATGGGTTGATGATTGATTGATTGATTCATTTGAGGGGTTTAACGTCCCAAAACCACGATATGATTATGAGAGACGCCGTAGTGGAGGACTCCAGAAATTTCAACCATCTGGGGTTCTTTGACGTGCACCCAAATCTGAGCACACGGGCCTACAACATTTCCGCCTCTATCGGAAATGCAGCCGCCGCAGCCGGGATTCGATCCCGCGACCTGCGGGTAAGCAGCCGAGTACCTTAGTCACTAGACCATTGCGGTGGGGCTGGCCGATTTAAAGGGAGCTCTGTGTGATGGCAAGACAAACCTTGTTGTGATCCCTGGGGGATTAAAATCAATCCTCTAGCGACTACACGTAGTGCACAATGAACCCTTCAAAGATCGCGCGCACACTCTACGATGAGTGGATGCTGGGTGACAATCCCAAGACCTCGGCTGGCCGCCTACGACGTCCGTTGCTCACGACCATTTGTGGCTGGGTGTCGTCAGCTTGGAAATCTTTCTCGAAAGAGATGCTGTGCTAGTCTTTCCGCAAACACTGCATCAGCAACGCATTAGATGGAACGAAGGATGATGCACTCAGGTACGTAACCAGGGAGAAACAGATGTTGTCCGACTCATGTTCGGACGAGCCTGAGTGACAGCACTTTCTGGTGGCTTTCTGGTGTTTTTAACCACATGGAAATAGTGTGTAAATAAAAAGAAAGGTTACCACGGTACAGCCGGCTGTGCCGCATATTTATCAAGGTAAGGAAGTGCCACGATACCTTGGGATTTTTTTTTTTTTTTTCGGCTATTCAAAGCTGGCACGGTCGACCTCTATTCCAGTCCTATCTATATACCTGTTTTTACAGCAACTAGAAGTGGTGCCAAAAAACGACGACAAAGAAGCATGTGCAGCAGGACTTGCGGCTGTTTCTTTCTTGAGCTATTTGCACCATGAACCAACTGCTTTGTTTCATCTTCATGCTACGTAAAAGTTTTCTTTTTGTGAATGCTGTCTTTGCTGTTTCATTCGGCCTACATTCGAGGCGAGTTCTTTTTTTTTTTCCTGGTGTTCGGACTTCTGGAGTTCGCTTTAGAATTGGGGCCAGCCTAGATTCCAGTAAATATAGTATGTGACCCTCAAAATTAGCAAAATTTTAAAGCTGCATGACAGCCAAAAACTAACTTTCAGAATGGCCTTACCTCGCATGAAGAGAGGTTCCACAAGACCCCGGTCACCAGCTCGCGGATTTCGTTGTCGGGCGTTTTTCGCAGTAGACGCACAAGAGCTGGTATGCCACCCGCATTCCGAATGGCTCGCTGAATCACGAAAGAGAAAGTTACATATATTGTCAGTGGACGAAACTGACGTTCACAAATCACAGTGACCACAAAGAACAGATCAGTCATGAAATCATTGGTAATGTGAAAAGTCAAAACCAACTCTCTCAACTGTCTATTCTAAGGAAATAATTCCGGGAAACTGGGCCGCGAATGCAACAAAAATGAATCGTTATATTACCAGATTCCACTGAAAGTTTTCTTGATTACAAGATCTGTAATCAAGAGAACTTATTTGACATAAGAAAGCTTAAAGGCGCCAGCACAATGCAGTCAATTGAGTATAACACAGTAGACTACCAGATAACATGCGTAAAATGTTTTTTATTACCGTATTTACTCGATTCTACCGCGCCCTCGATTGTAACGCCCACCCGATTTCCACCGCGAAAAAAAAAAAAACGTAAGACATCAATTGCAACGCGCACCCATTTGTCTCTCTGGCCCGCAAGATCACAACACTCGAAAAAACGACTCCTTTCGGGAGCGTCTTCCATTTAAATATGAGGTACGGGCGAAGCTTGTGCTCATCTGACGTGTAACAGAGCATTGCCGTCACTGTAGTTTTACCGTGGACCAATGTCAGCATGCGAACTTGCTTCGCCCCCTTCTCGACGGTTGTGGTGCCAGGCATGTCGAAGTAAAGAGGCGTCTGATCGGCATTCCGATTTGCCCAAGCAGGTAGCCATTGTTGCGCCGCAAGTTTAGGACAAACCTCTGAAAACTGTGAAGCTTTCATTGTACTCCTCCGCAAAACTTTTCGCATATGCATGTTCCCCTTCGGAGGGAAAAGCGTTTCCTCTTCATAAAGTTAGTTAGCCAGCACCTGCTCGCTTCAAACTGGCTCCACATTAGACCTTTTTCTAAGACTAATTGCATAGCTCGCACTTGGAGCAGTTCTGTCGTCACAGGCCACTCTGCCGCTCGCTGCTCAAGCGCATACACGCCGAGCAGCTCTTAATTTGCGGAAACCGACCCTGCTGTGGTCCACTGAAGCCTTTGCGTGAAGCTTTGCTGTCGATAATCTTCTGCTTTTGTTTCCGCCGGTCCCGGACGCACGTTTCGGGAACTCCGAACGACCGCGATGCGGCCCGATTTCCGTCCGTTTCCGCACACGCGATGGCTTTCTTTTAAAAGCGGCATCGTGGTGCACTCGAGTTTTGGAGTCGGCCCTTCCACGCCGTCGATGCTAATGCACTACGAGATGACGAACTCCTCAGCACACGTACGAAGTGCCGCACATGGGAAACACATAGGCAGAAATAGCTGACGCGCCATGCCGACGCACGTAGGGGGCGGCCATTTTGGATTTGCCGATGGCAATAGATTGAACGTTTTTTTTTTTTTCGTACTACTCGATTCTAACGCGCATGCGATTTATGAACTCGCTTAACCAGAAAAAAGGTGCGCGTTAGATTCGAGTAAATACGGTATTACTGGAAGCTCGACTTATGCGAAGTAGCCACAGAAAAAAAAAAGGTCAAGTGACGAGGCAGCTGCATCTAGACATGTTACTAGAAAACAATACATGAAGTCATGTTTGGAATGTAAACATATTTACAAAATAAGCATTTATGTGGCTTGACACGATAGGAAATGGTGGCTTCAAGCACCCTTGCTTGGTTATACTACACACTTAGCAATGTTTTTTTTTTTTTTTTTCATTTCTTGGAGTGAATGTACCATAATAAATTATAACAACTATACCTTGCGGCAACGTGCCTACCACAATAAAATGGTAGAAAAATCTTGACTATGTCCAAGTGCCTAGAAGGAATGAAAGCTGTAGCCCTGACACAAAGCACAAACAAGGATTTTTTTTTTCTTCACCGATTGGCCAAGGCTGACCTTGTTTTCATCATTTTGCCGGCCATAGGAGAGGTTCCTGAGGGCACCACAGGCATTCCTCTGAATCTCCGGGAAATCTTGATTCAGAAGCTCTATCAAGAGTGGGATGCCCCCCAGAGCTCTGCAATAACAACAGAACTTATTTCAGGTTCCACTTTACTTGCATCGCAGCACATAGCAAGAACTCTGGTTTCCTAAAGGAAGCCTATGCTTTAGTTAGAGGCTTACGGCACTGGAAAAAACATGGACAAAACAAGAATGATGGAGAATAGACCAACTTACAAGTGAAATTTACAATGGAAATGCAACAGAATATAAAAAAGATGTGACATTATGAAAAACAAAAGAAAAGAAGAAATGACAGTGCCAATGCACATCCCAAGAAATAACTGCTATCAGCCTAAAAACGTATTGGTCATGCACATGGCACAAAGTATAAAGTTCTTTTTCAGTGAATGCAACAAGAGAGCTACTCTCGATGAGCCCACCTAGCAGACTCGCTCTATCAGCCACCACAAATTGACTAGAGCTCAAAAGCAGGCCCCCCCCCCCCTCCCCATTTCTACTTTTCTTGACATCGTGAAGCTCTCACTACTATTGACAAAAAACTGACAGGCCTGCGCGGAATGTACAGCACAGTCACGGGAGCTGGAAGAACAGCTTTTCAGATCCTCTTCTAGTAACGCTCGATGGGTAACTGCTACAAGCACGCTTGCTGGGTACCCACTACTCTATAAATCATAATTTTTGTGTAGTGGGGAGGCAATTAATATGCTATTTTTCGCCATTATTCAAAGTAGTGTGGTACCCACCACAAAGTTGTAAAGAATTATGTGCGTTTTCTTGATGCTATGGCTGACGACGATGGAAAACTGTGCCTGAAGCGTTTGTAATGAGCTGGGGCATTTGACGACCATCTCCTTATGAAATTTGCATTGTGTGACGCCTGGTTGTTGCTTTGCAATTCTAAAATGCTCTATTACTCATAACACGATTCCTTTCCCGACAAAAAGCCGCCCTAAGGCCAGGTTGCAACAGAGTTTCAAGTACCGGCGTGGCTCTGTGGTAGGATACTGGACTGGCAAGCAGGACACCTAGGTTCGAATTCCACTGTGTTCTTGGTGTTTTTCATTTACTTGTTCTTTTTGTTATTTTTTCTTATTTCGTGCGATAGTGAGTACGGACACTGGGGGCGGTGGAAAACTACGGCACACACAACCCAAGCTTTCGCTGTAAAATGAAAAAGGCGGAATCAATGTGCTTCAAAACAACCAGCATGGGTTCCGGAAATCGGGTTTTGGGTGCACATCTCGGAGGCCGTGCATGAACTTTAATTTGTTAGCTCTCAAATCAAGTTTAATAAGGTTGCTCATCTAACGCACCTGTGAAGGTAGGTAACATTCAAGAATGCATCATTATGAGGCATCTAGCACATCTTCATATGCAAGAGCAGATCTGTCAAGTTTGTTTTGTATATTAGGTGCTAGTGTTTGAGTGTTGCTGTTACTGTATATATTTTGCCCGCTTTCTTTTTTTTTCTTATGCTCGGATTGTGCTGAGCAGGTTCGGTGCGTCAAAAAGCACGACAACGTCAAGGCCCACCGGCCGCTTGAATAATTGAATGCTCTCCACTGAAACGGACGTGTACATCGAGACTGACTCCGCAGATGATAAAATTGCAAACAGTATACTTCAACTGGTAATCTCAGTAGCCTCGATTATTACACACGTTAGCTAAAGACCGTCCATCTCAACACCTGGCACTTATGAAAAAGGAATTTACAATTTGTAAAGTCAGCTGTGTTACAGGGAAGGGTTAAGTAGCTGCTGTTCATCTAAGGAACCTTCTTATAATCGTGCAAACGATCATTTATGCACGCTGCTGCTGGTTTGACCAACACATTGCTTCCTGCACGATACAAGGATCGTGTACACAACACACACTGCACATATGCTTTTTAAGCGCTGTAAGCCTCTCAATTACCCACTAACTCACTCAAAGAACTACCTCTTGAGTAACTTTAGCCTTCGCAGGCAGCACAGGTGCGCCCACCTCGTCTTTTGCTTCATGCCATTGTCCATGTAACACAGGTGCTGCAGGTAGGCAGCCGCATTGGCGCGAACCACGCTGTTGGGGTGGCCCAGGAACTCAATCACCTCGTGCAGGTCGGGGTCTCGCCACCGCACATCCCCCCACCTGAAAAGTACAGCAAGACATTCAGCAACAAGTCTAACAGAAACCAGACACGCGCTGCCACTGTTTGCTTCTCTCAAGAAGGTGACAGGGGCATTATGCATAGTGCTGGGTTTTATGCAGAGTGACAAGAGTTTGTGTGAATGGAGATAATAATAATAATCACGGTTTTACATCCGAAAACCCCTATATGATTATGAGAGACACTGTAAAGAAGAGCTCCAAAAATTTCGGCCATCTGGTGTTTTTTATTGCGCATTGATATCGCACAGTACACAGGCTTCTACCGTGTCACCTCCATCGAAATGGGACTGCTGTGGCCGGGATCGAACCCGCCACCTTTGGGTCGGAAGCCGAGTACCGTAACCACTACACCACCGAGGCAGACTTAGCATAAATAGGGAGTGATAGCGAAGACTCGAGTTCGGTTAAAGCACAAAACTACAAAGTGTAACTAAAGTTGAATGACATGTGTTAGCACCACTTCCATTGCAATATCGCGTCCAAAAATTGATGACCTTGCCAAACTTTAGGGTAGATGTGATTGCAGGTTTGTTACTGTATTCACTCTATTTACTCGCATAATAGGCGCATCCCAAACTTGGCCGTGATCAGTAGTTATATACCGTATATGCGCGGCTGCAATTCGATGCCCTCTTACATTAACCGAAGCAAAGGGGAAAAAAATGACCGCGGCAGCGCTGCGCCACCTCCATGGGCTCACCGAGAAGAAGGAAGGTTGCCTGATAGTCGGAGTAATCTTTGCACCGACTTGTGGGCGTGGCTCCGGCTGCTCTGGCCACGCACGCTCCGTATGAAACGCAGGATCGAATTGTCCTCAATAGTGCAGTCAGAAAAAAAGTGTTGTCGTTATTGCGTTTGCTACCTCGTCTGCAATCTCAAAAGCTTTTCGACTTGTCGACGCAAGCTTTCGCCTTTGCTGGCACTTCGCGGACTTGCACAAGCTCGGCAGACTTTGTTGCCGTTGATTTCCTTGTGGCAAATCTTAACATCATACCGCGGGCGCTGCTCTTGAATCGGTGCTATAGTGCAATCTTTTCAATGCCAAATCTTCATGTTGTCTTGAACAAACTTCCCGTGACAGCATGCCGAACTGTAGGTTAGGCCTAATCACTGTTCGTGCTTTTCGGCGGCGATCGCGAGCAATTGTGTTGTGGTTTTGTAAGGAATCAACGTACCGTATTTACGCGATTGTAAGACGACTCGAATGTAAGACGACCCCCCCAAAATCGCATCTTCTCAAAAAAAAAAAAAGAACTCGTGCATTTTACACAAGGGAAATTTATTCACGTGGTTGCGGAGGATTATTCATCGTCGCTGGAGTCGTCCTCGCTAGTGCTGCTGCCGTCATTGCTGCTGCAGTCCCACAGCACGTCGTCGTCAAGTGTGAGTAGGCCGCAAGCTTCGCTTCTAGTTCCGAAAAGCGGCCAGACTTCGGCCCGCGAAAGCCACGGCGCTTGGAGTCGCACGAGAAAATTTTCTCGCGCTGAAGCCGCCACTTCCGCACCACACATTCACCGATTCCAAAACTTCCGTCCTGCTGCACAGTTGTTGGTTTCCTCCGCATGAAGAATAGCAGCCCGCTTAAACGCTGCCGTAAACGAGCGCCGAGTGTTCTTCGAGCCTACGGCACTCATGTCAGACAGAAGTGACTCGAGAGAGCCGGTCGTGGACACAAGCGACAGGAGCACACGGCGACGCGCCCGCTTAGAAAATTGTATCACAAAGAGGAGCTCTCCGTCAACTACCAGTACCCCCCTACGGCGGCTCTTCCATCGATTACCGGTGCTCCCTCAAGAGCCGTGCGCTCGTCATAAAGGCACTCGTAATGCGCGCAGTAGATGCTAAAAAAGAAAAGCTTTTGTATAAGCACGCGGAAAACTATGCGCTTTGGGTTGAGCGGGAAACTATTCGAGATGACAATACATGGTTCGATTTCGATTCTAAGGTACATGGTTCGATTTCGATTCTAAGACGACCCCCCAACATTGGATTGTCAAATTTGAAAAAAAGGGTCGTCTTACAATCGTGTAAATACGGTAACTCTTCTCGATGGCTCTACTTGAAGGAAAGAGGGCTTGGGTGGCCAATGCAACATTTGAATGGTGGTTTGCGATTCGATTGCAATGTCTTGAATACGGGGTTTGAGCCTGTGAAATCGATCGGTATACCGCTCAGTGCACAAATAATCTATGTGGCCTGAAATGTAATTGGCCAATTTCAGCAATGCATGGCACGTTATTTTCATAGTTTTTTTTTTTTTCATAGTTCATTTCAGTGGCAATGCGGGTCTTCCAATTTTCAAAAATTTGAATGCATCGCCTGCCTTTATTCTCGGACACGTGAGAGTGCATGCTCAATGTGTTTTGCGCTAGTGTAGCTTATGAAGAAAGTTGTTTCAGCTGTAGCGCAGATATTCGTGACTTCGGTGGGACAAATGGCAGGCGCACAGGCGAACAGTTCGTCGAGGCGGTCCGATCCATTCAATGGACAGCAGAGAAGAAATATTGTTTGGCAGCGACACTGATGCGAAAATAGCCTCACTCCAGCAGTTTGAGGCGTTTGAGGTAGCCACCTTAGCGGAGACAAGCGGAGGTATTGGCCGAGCGCAAGGCCAGCCCTGGTTCAAGGCTATTGAAGGAAATTATAAACAAACAAGATAGAGGCACAGAAAAATGGTGGTAGTCAGCTCAACTGACGCTCGGAAGTGTCTGAAGTTCTGAGCTGCAAAACATCATAAATTATTTATAGCTCATGTCCTGGTGCTGGATAAATGTCCAAATTATCAAGCATGTCCGAAAAACTTCGCATTTGAAATATCAGTCCTCGACTCTACATGTCTATTGGTTCGTTATACTTTGAAATTTTCAATGACTGAAATTCGAATCGAAGCAAAGTCGAATAGCCTACTATTCATTCGAATATTTGAAGCATTCGATTAAATCAGCGACCAATATTCTGGATGCCCAATTTTCGAACACGCTTGATAATTCGGACTTTTAGCCAGCACCAGGACATACTGCATAAATTCAATATATTCACAGCTTAAAATTTCGTACACTTAAGGACGGGCTGTTTCATATTTTGAATTTTCCAAGTGCCAGCCGAGCCGACTACCACCATTGTTTGCCTACGTTTTTTTTCAATAGCCTCAAACCGGTGCTGGCCTTGCGCGCGGCCGATACCTACGCTTGCCTCCGCTAAGGTGGCTACCTCGAACGCTTGAACGGCTGGATGGAGGCTATTTCCACATCAGCGTCGCTGCCGAAAAATTTTTTTGTTTTCTGCTGTGACCGTTGAACAGATCGGACCGCCTCAACAGACTGTTCGCCTGTGCGACTGCCGTTCGCTCCACATGTGGTGAACTGCGCTGCACACGGGCACGTTAACAACTTTAAAGCTGTGCCTGTCGAGTTCTTGCCCCCAAACACGACAAGTTTCCTACAACCGATGGACCAGGGCTTCATACGCACTCTCAAAGTGAACTATCAGTCACGCTTGCTTTCGCGTGTGGTGGTGTGCCTCGTCAGCAGAAAAGCGTACTCGGACGATTTGCTTAGAGCACTTAGCATGCTTGCCGATGCGTAAAAGTTGACGGCAGAAACAGTTGCACTGACGGCATCGACAATGCGGTGCAACTGTTTCTGCCACGCGGGATTTGTGTTGAATGGCGAGTCGGCCGCATTGAACGAGGACAGCATCGTCGACCAGGTGTTGGGAAGTGAGGAGCCCATCGACGACTTCGCACTGCAGGCGTCGAGATTTCCCCAGATGTCTCATTTTCTGAGTTTGTGTGTGCGGACAACGAGTTGAAACTGTGTGCTGGCTTCTTAGATGAGGAGATCATTCGTCAAGTGCTTGCAGAGTCAGAGAGCGATGATGAAGACAATGACGACTTACCTGCAACAGCTCAGCTTACTCAAGCTGAGCTGATGCAAGCAATCGCAACCCTTGCGTCAGCTTACAGCGACACGGCAACTCTAGCTGAAATGCGGGCAGACGTGCTCACACGGAAGCGAAGCATGGTCCAGAATACAATCAGTTTTTTGGCCCTCCATTTAAATAGTAATCAATAAATTGAGAATTTCGGAGGCACGTTCGCTTTTTTGGACTGCCCGATTTTTCGACCATTTTCGGGTACCTTGAGGGTTCGCCCGAAAATTGGTCAAATGCATTTGCACAAGCCTGGATATAGTGTTAGGTTCCACGCTTGCACCTTTTATAATGAATTTCCGAATATAACAAACTTATTTTCGTGTAAGATGCAACTTTGTTACAGAGAGGTTTGAGTGTATCTTACAGAGCCTCACTTGTGAAAGAAAATGCATACCTCTGGGTCTGATCCATCAAGCGGAGGTCCCACGTAAGGTGGCCTGGGGGGAAGCTGCCCCTCCAGGGGCGGGGGTGCGGGGCTGGCCTCTTCTTCTTCTTCCTCGAAGAGGGCTCGAGGGGGAGCTGCCCCATAGGGGCCCCTCGTGCCTCCGGTGGTCCGGCCTGGTGTTCATCATAGCTGGGCCGGCGGTCAAGGTACCCCTGCGGTGGGGGTGCGCCCTCGTAGCCAGGGCTATAGCCAGGAGAACTTGCACCGGGGCTCCTAAGTAGCCGTAAGTGCCTGCAAAAGGGTGGGTTATTGTAATGATCAACACAGCTAGCAAAAGAATCGACTACAGGGCGAAGGCATAGCAAGAAAGGTAGTGCGGGTGTCACCGGTGTGTTTTCTCCCTAAAAAGGAGAATAAATTAACCAACAGTGCCACTTCATCATGGTTCATTAAACAGCCTGATATGCGACTACTGCTGCATGAAGTCCTCCCATTTTTTCAGCGTAAAGCAACAATATGTAACACGACACACAAGCTTTCCTCCTCTCCTCTACTGTAGCTAAATTCCACTGTAAACACTACAAGGTATTTTCTCATGTTAATGGACAGGCCATGCAATCACGGGCACAAGACAGAAATCTGGACAACACAAAAGCCGACTAGCTACTGATAAAAGTAAGCACCTGTGCAGGCACCAACAAGAGGCCATACCTATCAATCCAGCACACATGGGGGGAGGGAACGTGAGAATTCACAGTCCGATGTAGTTGAGTTCTTCTTCACACAAGTTAATCAAAGGCTAGCTTACGCATGTCCTGCCACAATGTTATTGATATGCCAGTCCTTAACTATTAGACACATTTCTTATATTCTGTGCCAATATAAAACTACAAAATAATCAAATTTTGGCATGCATTATTTACATTCACGACAATCTGATGATACAGCCTCCAGTTAGCAGTCTCTTACGTTCCACTCGTCTCTGGTTAGCATCGTAAATCTTCTATATTTTCACGTATCACTGTGTTGTAGCGCTTCTATGTTAAACAGTTGTTACAAGATACGTCGGCCTATTTCTTCTCCAAAAAATGGCATGCTTCCCACCGTAGCGATCCGGATGAGGAGCCGGCGAAGGTGTACCTGTAGCAGTCCGGTGCATATTCCACACCGCCCCTCGGAGGTTGAGGGTCGAGCTCGTCGTAACCCGAATGCCCGTGGCTGTAACCGTCGGGGGCCACCATGAGAGGCGACATCATGCTCGACGACGCGGCTGGGGCATGGCCATGTGCGAGGGCGGCAGGGGTGACTCCGACGTGACGAAGGAGGTGTCGGTGCTTGTCCAGGGTAGCCACCGTAGTCGTAGTCGCGTAGGTAAGAGCCGTACGTGGCATAATCCTGGGGGTAGGCGCCATGCGGGGGTGCCACCTGACTGGCTGGACTAGGAGGCTCGCCTGCGATGCAAGGAGGTAGTGTGTCAGTTCTCTCCTAACTAGAGGGCAAAGCCACAACAATTTCTTGGATAAATAACTTGTCATTTTTTGAGATTCCCATAATAAATTATAACTGCAATCCCAGGTCTCCTCACGTTCTTCAGTTCCCCAACAGAAGTACCGTAGGGAAAAGAAGAACACAAGAGCTTGGCTAGAGGGGAAAATACAAGGGAAGAGGAAAAGAAACAAAACAAATGAAAGTGAAAATGGGAACAAAGATAGTATGCACAACATAATCACATGAAACAGAAACCATATGTGGCATTAGCAATCCCATCACAGGAGTCAGATGCATTGTTATCGTTGTCACTCAATGGCTTCTGAACACATGTTGTGATCAGTTTGCATCATTTTGCATAGGGCCTGTGCATGTCTGTATTTGTTCCCACTTAAATGCAGCAATTTGTGATGCACCATTTTTATTATGAAAGTGCATCAGAAAGAATGTCATCTCGCACAAAATATAGCTTGTTGGTCTCTTTTTTTGTGTGTGCCGAGGCTTTTGATCATGAGTGTGTAAACGAAGAGGTTCAGCTGCATGTCATTGAGGAAAAGTTACTGCGGGCTGAAAATTAAAAAAAAAAACATTTGAACCTCAAAGAAAAGCTTGCAGACTTCCATACGCAATTTGGCATATATTGGCTTTGTCAAGGTAGCGGTATGCGATCGAGGCGTATCCAAAAGTGATAGCAAGGCCATCAAAGCAGCCTCTCAAAAGGTGAAACGCCTGAAGAATATATTTTCCTTTCTTTGAAAAAAAAATTGTGCTTGTATCTCCTTTTGATCTTTTCTACTGACAGAATAGGGTTATGCTACAGTTTTATTGTTAAAATGTGGTAGCAACTTATTCATGAGCATATTTATTACGAACCCATGAAATCGAGTACATATACACAGATCTGAAGATCTCTGTATATGGTACTCATGATCACAAGCCTCGGGCACACGGAAAAGACACAATGCAGCTACAGTCGACTCTCGTTAATACAAAGTTCACGGGGACCGCGAAAAACTTCCAATTAGGCAGAATTCCAATTAATCACAATGAACGACAATACATTATTTCAAAGCAGTTTATGAGAAAAAATCTGTGATTGCCGTTTCTTCTGTTTGCTGAATCTTGCAGCAGAAAGCAAGTCTTGCAGGCTGTATATATGCCCGAGTGCTTTCTTGGCATTGCTCTCAGCAGCGAAAAACCGCAGCGCGACGGCAAGGCCTGCGGCTACATCAGCAGCCCGCAGTAGTGGCTCACTTGCGGCGTCGTCGTCGTCAACCTCAGTTTCGACTAAGCTCGCTGGGCCGAACCATCTCCACGATCTCAACGTCGGACAGTGCACTGCACGTTTCTACCGAACTGTCAGTGGCAATGTACTCCTCGAAAGGGACGTCACCGAGAGCTCCCAGGCGACCACCAATGTCAAGCTCACTTGTGTCTTCTTCCCCCACTGTACAAGACGCCCAGTCAAGCGTCTGATAAGGCTCGCGAGTTGCCATAGTAAATGCACGTGGAGCTTCGTCGCACGTGGAAACGCTGAGTCCGCATACGACTGTAACGAGATCAACAATGAGGCCCGGAACCGGAACCGCCGGAGCAGCCGCTTCGTGATCTGGGGCGCTGGATGCAACTGCAATGCCATCAGCTGATGCTTTGAGCTGCGGCGCTGTGGTCAACTGCGATGTTTGGTGCCGGTCGCACACGCATTGTTGTTTAGCACTTTGAGAATAGGAAATTTAACAAACATTAGGATTTCCTCCGGGAATTCGATTGAAAATAAATTTGAATTAACCGAAATTTTAGACCTCTAGCTTCCAATACTGAGAATTTCTTCCTGTTGAACTGCATGCAAAACTGACGGGACCCCCACTCCACTTCCAATTAACCGATAATTCCAATTAAGCAACTTCGAATTATCGGGAGTCGACTGTATATTTAGTGTGCAAAATGATTTTCTTTTGTCGTGCATTTTCATTATGAAAATGACGCATTACAATTTGCTTGAACTTCACTGAGAACAGATATGATGCGCACAGGCCCTATGCCAAACAACGCAGACTGACCACAACATGCGCTCAGGTGCCATCATGTTACAGCAATGACAACGCATCTGCCTTCTCTGATGGGAGTGCCAGTGTTGCATATGTCGTTTCTATGTCATTTGATATAATGCACAGAAAATCTTTGTTCCCGTTTTCGATTTCATTAGGCCTTTCTTTCGTTTCCCTTCTCTTGCATTCTCCCCTCTAGCCAAGCTCTTGTGTTCTGTTCTCTACTGTACTCCTGTTAGGGAACTGAAGAGCATGAAGAGAATCCTAAAGGACGAACGCTTTTCGTTGCTTTCCTTGCTGATAAAGCTGGCTCTTTTTCTACCTACAGATTAGGCGTGAGGAAGATACCTGCTTTGTGCGCAGACCTTTCTTTTTCACGTATGTCGCTTCCTCCCTCCACGTCACAATTTACTTTGAGTTTTTGTGTCAGAAAGTTTTTTTTTTTGCTTTTTCTTGTTCACCTGAATGCCCTCAACTAGACTATAATGTTTGTTGCGCAGAATCCCTTTTGTTTTTAATCTCTGCGAGAAGGCGTCTCGACAGAAGAGGCCCGTTACGCAGTTAGTCTTAAGCAGACTTGTTTTGCATTGAGCCTAGGGTAAACCAAACATACACTTCCGTGTTGTTCATCTTAAGCGAGAATTCGTATTAACAGAGTTCGTCTTAATGGGAGTTTACAATATTTGAGCATCGTTATATTGAGGTTTGAGTATAGTAGGCTGCTTTTCTTTCAAACAACCTGGAAAGTATGGCACTAAAAAAAGTATGAAAAGTACTTTGCGCACTTTCAGAAAAGTCGGGAAGTGCTGAAAATTCCACGATTTTCAAGAAACCAGAGATTGTGGTGCAAGAAAACAAAACTTCTTCCTCAAAAAAGGACCGCTTACCTGTATCGTAGCTGCCATAGCCGTGGGAGTTGTCAGTTGCACCTGTGTAGGGATATGTGACGTAGTCGGAGCCTGCCATGGGCATGCCGTGCGTCCCGTAAGGGTTGTACTCTAGAGGCTGACCGTCGGGACCGACGTGACGAACTTCCCTCGTCTTTATGACTTTTGTGACCGTTTTGACCTAGAACAGACATGGAAGACAACTCTGCCTCACGATCCACCCAAAGTAACACATGAACCAGGCTGCTACGGGGTGCGAAATCCTTCACTAACAAGAAGCTATGCAAATCTGTACCTTTTATTTAAATAGCTATCTCGCATAAATAACTTGGTTAGACTAGGAAAGGTGTTTCGTGATAAAAAAACCTAAATACTTAATCGCAAACACTTATTTTAGCCAATGTCATTCAAAGGACAAAAAACAATATCGCCATGTCGTTAGTGAACAGCACTATGAATGTTGCTACAAAGCCACATATTTCTACATGAACATATGTCACACATTAATTGCAAGATTTATGACTTGATACATTGAAACCTTGATATAACGAATTATCGGTTACAACGAAGTGAAGAATAGCTCCGTCATAGACATAGTGCTACAATATAAGTTCATAACTAATTTTTGGATATAATGAAGTATTCCCGTGGCAGGTTCGACTTCGTTACAATGAGGTTTGAGCGTATTCCCGTTGCGCAATGATACAAGACAGAATAACAGAAAAGTATGTGAAACAGAGGACAGTGCTTAGTTACTTATGTTACACAGTGCGTATGATTGAAGTAGCATATCCGATACTGGTTACACGTTAACATCTTCAAAACTGATTTTTAAATCATCTGGTGACTTTCAGTCGTGACTGGACCCCATCTGACTAGGCTAAATGCGAATCAAGTGCTGCTACACAGTCACTGCAACAAAGTCCAATCCAGACTGATGCATCAAATTAGGCTCCTTGACTGCAATTCAACAACAACTGTAGAAAATCTAAAAAAACAGGGGGGGTGGGGGTACGAAGGCAAGCTTTCTATAAAGCATGGAAATAGAAGTAGCATAGCAAACAACTCACATTTGCAAGTTGACACTTGTAGCTACAGACCAATGCATATATTGAGAGTTGTAGACAATTAGCAAACAATAATCGCAGGCGTATGACTCTTAACAACACACAAAACATGTTCTCACAAGGAGTGCTTTAATAGATTTCTTTCATCATAAGAATCAGATATAATGCATCTTTTGAACTCATTAATGACCCAAGGGGCTCAAACTAGATCATTAGAACATGTAGCAGCTATCACTGCTCATCATAATCAATATATCAGGATTGGCCTCAAATACAATCAAATTTTTATAGTGACGATGGTATCAGTTTGCTCAATTATTAGATCTATTCATTTGCATTCTTTGTGCCATACTGGACTGTGTGAAGCACCTGTTGCGTTTTGGTCTGCTGCGTCGTCCGGCTGACGAGCTGGGAATTCTCTCCGGCACCGCCAGTTTGGACGAGTTTGGCGAGTGCTCGCCGTCGCCCACTTGGTGGCCGTTGGTCGACGTCGTGCTATGGTAGTTCATGGAGTACGACTCCTGCACCTGGGGCGAACTTCCATCTTGCCTGGAAAGAAAGCAAAAATGAGTCGTTTTTTACTTTATGTACGAAGTAAACTATAGTTTCTCTCACATTTTTTTTTTTCACCCGCCTACTTGAGTATAAGGACGACAACGAACTTTACAAGGGGCGAATGAACTTCACAAGTGCTTGTGTCACGTGCGAAGTGTACAGAGCCCAGACATGAGAAAGAGGACGCCATCACAATGCAATATATGTACTCGCGGTGCATATATTTTTCATTCCATTGTTGACCAAGTTCATATCTAATGCAAGTGCTGGGATGTGTACACTGCTTGACAGAGACGTGCAATACATAAATCAAAATGCAAAAAAATATTTTGTCTCAGAATCGACATTTACATTGCACTTATCTTTCACCATCGCACACAAGTATTGCGCACATCACATAAGTTCCAGTTGTGTAGCAGCCTCGAGTTATCTTTAAAACTACGCAGTGCAGTGAAGACAGGCAATGTGACAATAACGTGCGAGCATGCCTCTTTTTATTGTAGGTGCACTTGCTATCGATGAAAAAGGCAGTGAAATATCTAAATATCTGAAACAAACACTCGGCGCATCCCCAAGGCTCAAGAGAGTTGTACGAAAATAAGAGCGACGCGTAACCAAGCATGCAGGTGCGAGCACTGCCATATGCGTGAGAAATGATTTAACTGATTTGAGACGGACAACACACCACAGACACACACACACAAACATGTACACTCAGTTTAACTGCTTCAAAACTTACATGTAGCGATGATACTCTGTAGTAGTTTGATCAGGATAGTAGCGCCTACGTAGAGTAAAAGTTTAGACAGAAACATTATGCAACAGACACTTCTTATCATTGATACACATCATTCGGAATATGCAACTATTGAAGTCATGAGCAAAATCAATATCATTCAAAAAAAAGGAAAAAGTTAACACGGTGCAATGGTGGTTCAAATGACATTATAATGTTATATCTGTCATTTTCCTCATAATGCCTGAAGGTTAAAGTAAATGTCATTGAATGCAGCAGCGAAAGCAAATAGTAGCTTATGTTCCTTACATATAAACACATATAAAGTGCAAATGCAAATTCACACGAGAGTGAAACGCACACCACATGAACACATATCACAAGGGTAATGTGTGTTCATGAGACATGCCCCTAGCTGTGTTTTGAAATCTACCTTCACAAAGCGAGATATTTTTTAAGGTGTCACTCAACGCTCCCTACACAAATGCCCTTACACTGGCTACCTCTTCGTAGACTGAAATTAGAATTAAAATGAGCGGAACACGCCGGTGTCTGATTACAAAAAGGTGAAAATGCTAAAGCATGAGATCTAAAATCTGAGATCGGCATGAGAACTTCTGAAACAAGTTTATTGGATTCCATCCTTTCTTGCTTTCTTTTGTTGACCCTGTGTTTCAGAAGAGCATTGGAAAACTGCAGATAATACATAGTTAAGGAGCCCAGCATACCTCACAGGAGGACCTCAATGGCACTGTCATACTAAATAATTTTCCCTTTGTAACTATGACCATGAAAAAAGTGATGCAGAAGCACATGCAACGTTACACCTCGGAACTGCCAGGCGACTGTGTCACCTTTATAAGGCTAGGTGGCTTGACAATTTCACATGCTATGTTTTCAAGCAGCCCTCCTCGAGATACTGTAGACGAAATAGATCAGACACACACACGTCCATTTATTAATGATTACATCGTAGCTTAACTTCATGCCAGGTCACATTATTTTCGAACAACATCATATAGGCAGCCACTGAAGTGTGTGTTCCTGCGTGCAAGAAAAAGCAAAAGCAAAAAGCACAAAAGCAAAAGTAGCATGCATGAGCAGTCAAGTGAGAGGATCCTAGCTCTTGCTTAAAACTAAGAACATGACAAGTTCTGGTGCTCCTCAACGCCTCTGTAGCTACAGCCCGCTATTTCGGTGGCAAATGTGACATGAGCAATTGCGAGTAATGCTAACCAGGTGCTCGATTCGGCACACTGATTGCTCAACGATAACGTGAAGCTATCTACAAGAATTGAAACAAGCTCGTTATAGAAACTTTGTACCACTATCTACACAATCACACGCTCCTAGAAGCTTCAACTCGCAGCGTGTGCTCACACTCTGAAAGTGGGCGCACTATTTCAGGCAGCCCGTTCCTGATTTTTCAAGTTTAGTTAATAAAAAAATTTAGCTGTCAGCTAAATAGCATGCTCTCTGCTATTACTGAGCTACAAAACAAATGGCCTATATAAACAAAGTCCTTTCTCCATTGAAAATTTGGTTCCGAAACTAGCTTCTGGGATACTTGAGAATCCGGCAGACAAGCTTTCCAAAATTTCCATAAGCACCTATGCGAGAATTCGTTATCTCATCTGTAATTCACTAGAACTTCCTGCAGAGTCTCCTGTCTAATCTATGCCTCTTAATCAAGACATTCAGATGATGGTAGCACCCATCAAAATATGAAAGTACACGTTCCAACGTAGCAATTTGAACAATTTATTTATAGACTGATTACAGCTTTGCAGACGCACTTGGCTTGACACCAAAGATTTCGCATCAGCATAGTTTAGCGTGTCTTCAGCTTCTAACCCAGCTGCCGACCCAAGCACTCCATGTAGTTTATCCTGCATAGATGTCTTAGCCATTTTTTTTTTTTGCTTGAGATGATGCTGCTAACCGGCAACTATGGGTTGAAGACAATTACAGAATGGTTCCAGAGTCCCTGTTGTAAGCAAGAACAGGAAACTCTCACAGACAATAAGCCGCAGTTCTGGGCTCGGCGGAGACACCAACCTCTGCACTTTCTCGACGAGCTCAGTGCGCACGAGGTGCTCTTCCTCTTTGGATTCCGTCTTTCGGTTAATGATGCTGCGGCCAGGAAAGACAAGGCAGGAGGGTGATCGCAGGAGGACAATATAAACGGGACGGGAGGGCAAAGCAGGTAGGCACTAATGAGGCATGTGAAAACGTGAGTGTCGACACTAATCGGGAAGAGTGGCAGAGAGGAGTGATCAGGTGGAGGCCCGCAAAAAAGTGAAGCAGGGCTGCAAAGTGAGAAAGAAGCGTGAACTGGCGTGTCGGCTTCCCTTCATTTTTCCGGCTTTAAGGTGATTATTGCAAAGGAATTCATTACAGGAAGTACGTTAGGCCTGATCTGCGTCATAGCAACTCAGCTTAAAAAGATGTACTGAGCACCCAAGCAAGAGTCAACTGCGATGCTTGTTTCTGTGAGCCAATTTCAAACTTGGTACCCTAGAAAGTGGTTTGCATGACATCGCGGGCTGGCTCTGTTCTTGCAATCCCCACAACTGCCACGCGAGAGAGAAACCAGAAGACACGCGTGCAGCGCATGTGTTCTGCTTTCTGGCTCGGCTTCTCTGTCCGTAATTTCTTCAGCAATGTCCCCCCCACCCATCTTTCATGACAAGCAGCCACCCTGAAAGCAATGTACACTGCGCTGTGCAAAAAACAAAGTTTAATTGCAATCGAGGATGTCTTGAGGGGCCAGTTGGTTGATTATATCCAAAGAAATAGTTACTACAAAACTTGAAACCACAAAGAAGAAAACTGAACAGATAAAATGCAACAGATTGCGTTCGAACAGGTTGCACTCAATCTGTTCATGCACCTTTTTTGCGGTGTCCCTTTCAGGCTTTGCACAAATATTTCAATGCATTGAAGTGCTACGGCTGCGTTTCTCAGTATTTCCGGCACCGTTGCCACTGACATGTGAAACTAACTGTAGAAAAGTACAAATTACCATCTATGAGTGTGGCAATTTAAAAGCCTAGTTCAGTGTACTGTGTCCTTTAAGATAAATGTTTCAAATGAGAACAAATGCTCAATTGTGCAGTCTTCTTCAAAGTGGTTGCCAGATGGTGTGCAAAAGATGCCAGGGCAGAGATCGTGACTGTGGAAATGCAAAGGGGCATACACAAAGAGTTGACCCCATAAAATAAAAAATAACAGCACTAGGCATCAAAGGCTTAATACTTCATCAACTTGCTTCCCCGTCATAAGCTTCTAAATTGACAATTCGCACACCATACTGGTGTCGACAAATGCGCATTCAATCGTTCAGGTAAGCCCACCTTAAAAGCTCAAGAGCAGTAAACGTGGGGCCGGGCAGTCATGCCGTGACAAAGATAATCTCACAATGTTAATTATCAAAGATAAAGACGAATAAAGATGAGTTTTTGCAAGCAACATCAGCATGTAATCAGTATTTCTAGTTGCAAAAGAATTATAATTTATGAGCAACCAAACGAGTTCAAAGCATTTTTGCTGGTTAAGAGAAGCATCGTGAATGGGTTATTTGTATGCATAATAAATTTCTGCTTCTACTGAATGAGGCTAGCTACTGTAGCTAGCTCTTTCAAACATCTTGGCCCGCCGCCATCTCGTTTCTTTGCTCTTGAACTTTTAAACGTAGTGGAGTCACTTTCACGACAGGTCATTGCATTACTAAGACAAATCGTTAAGGTGAATAATAGCGGGTGCTTCCCAACAAGAAAAATGTTGAAGGGGCCATTCAGGTATTTATTACATAACTAATGCAAAAGCCACTCCCTACGCACTCCTCTACACCTTTCGAACATCCATGCGCAAGATCGTGCAGACAACTTGTTCAGGCCACAAGCAGTTACTACTTGTAGAAGTTGCCAGAATGCCGTTCCCACCACAAGCAGGGGCGGCGGAACTCACAGGTGCGAGTCGGTCATCTTGGGGCGCGTCTCTCTGTCGTCGGCTCCAAAGTTGCCAACCTGGGGAGGCGGGGGCCTCCAAGCGTAAGGGGGCTCGTCAGCAGACCCACTCACCGAGACACTAGAGACGCTCACCGTGTCGTCACGGTCCCGTAGTTTGATCTGCAGCAGAGAGGTGAAAATGCAAGACGCTGTGAGCAAAAAGTGGGGGGAGCACGAGCCTCTTTGCTATAGAGAAAATGGTAGCAAGTGAACCTTGGAGTATGCCTGCCTGACCTATTATATTTCTTTCCATCACACTGTACAATGCTCCCTATTACACTCTTTCTATCACATTGTACAATACTCCCTCCTAACCTTTAGAGTGCAGCTCTTGATGCACCCGTTCCTGCATTCAGCGACAAACCACCTTGCCATCGAGGAAATGGGAGCAAGTGAAGCTTCCAGTATGCCTGCCTGACCTATTCTACTTGTTTCTATCACATTGTATAATACTCCTTCCTAACTTTTAGAGTGCAGCTCTTTGCACTCGTTCCTGCATTCAGCGACCTGCCTTTTTGTTATCGTGAAAATGGGAGCAAGTGAAACTTGGGGCGTGCCTGCCCGACCTTCTTTCTTTCTATCACACTGCATGCTCTCTCCAAACTTTTAAAGTGCACTTCTTTATACACCCGTTCCTGTGTTGAGTGTCTCCGGCAGAGAGAGCCTGCTAAGCATAGTCGAGGATGAAAGAGAGCTCGCAGAGCCCAGCGGAGGATGAAGGATGGCGACAGCAAGGAGAGGGTGAGGAGTAGGGAACGAAAGTAGCAAGACCACAGGTTCGGCGGCACCCAACAGTAGCGCCACAGTAGTGCGCCCCATGCCGGCCAGCAATTGGATGACCTTCATCGATGTGCTTAGCAGCGCAATATTTCAATTGCTACATGCAAAAACAAAGGTCATGCAGTCATATCCAGTCGACAAGGAAGTGTGGCAATGTGAAATGACAAGTTACCTCAAAATTAGATCAAATTTCCATATTAAAAACGGCTGATTGATGACAATTATACGATCCAGAGTGCATCAACTAATGGAAGACGCCATAGACAAGCATGCATGTGACCGCTTCTCCTTCGAGGTTTGCATTCCTCAACGCCCCCAGGTATGAGCTTGCGTAGAGTTCCCCTTGAGAAGGGGTGAGGGGGAGGCTCATCGCAGCGCCCTCTCCCTATGAAGTCAACGTACAGAGCAGACTTAACCCCTTTCCACCCTTTAGGTGACTAGAGGAGGCAGCCTAGTAACCAAAAGGAGGGGAGGGGGATCTATGCAACTTAAGCCCTTAAACTACGTCTGATATCCATTCAAAGAATTCAAGTAAACATGCACATCACGTGCAGAATGACATCCCGGCCAACGATGCCACACGTGACAATGCTACGAGTCCTCAAGGACGCCAAAAATTCTAAGAAACAATCTATCCTCTTCTCCGGCTTCCCCGGCCTCCGTGTGACGTCGCAATGTTGAATCGGTGATGTGTAGCAAAAAATCGTGCTGCGATTGGTCGAGCAAACAGCTAAGACTTCAAGTCAGTCTGCAAGCAGCTGTCCAGTTCATCATTCTTCAGAAACCATAGTTCACTAAACAAACCCAACACAAGATGAACACAGGACAAGCATTTACTTTGGGTTACTTAAATGCCCTGTATCAGCCAATCTGAATTCACTTAACTGACAATATGTTGGTAAATGTTAACAGTCTGATATACGCCACAAATTACTCCAACATCTCATGGGTAGTTTGATGTGCTGCCAATGACAGCAATTGTAAAAAGATTTTGTTTCATTTTTCGATGTGCTTGAAGTCACTAAGCCAATCATGATTGCACTTTGTGTCACTAAATCAACAGCATTGATGCAAAAATGTGAGATGACCAACTGCCTAATATAATATACACAATTAATTACTCTATAATTATCACGGGTAAACAAAACATGCACAATGTAACATCCTACTGCTAACCTTGTTGCAACATAGTGTGCAGCACCTTGTAATAAATCTATCGGAAGTTTTTCAGATTTATCAACAGTCCGTCACACTTTGTGCCTGAAGGGACAAGTCATGTATTAAGGTACCAAGGAACAAATGTGAACACCTCATAGGAAAATGTGAAAAGAGTTTTACAGGAAGTGCTCACAATCTGTAATATATGCAAAACAAAGCATGATTACTTTGCTATCTAGTTAATCACGCAATACGGGAGCTAGCATGTGGATGCAATGGGGTGCACTTACGGTGAAGTGGGCACAAACTGCAAAAACTGACAAGTCACAAAAGCCACAAAAATCGAGATAATGCCACGCGACTATCAAGGCTGACAAGGACTCACTTTTTCGAGTTGTGTGGCAACAGTCTGCCGCTCTGCTTCCAGCTGCCTTGTGAGCAACTCAAACTGGGCCTCCTGCACCAAAGATCAAAAAGGGAATACTCAAGTTAGGACACTGTTCAAATTGACAGTTATGCAATTATTCGGTAGATTTCAAATACATACACAAACACACAAGCACGCACAGTGTTATAGACGCATAAAAGCACCGAAATTTGGGCAAGTTTGCACTTGAACATAGTGGTATTTAGAGCGCGTAAACAAACAAGAAACGAAAGACGGGGGAATACAGACAAGCGCTCACTTCAAACGAAAGTTTATTCACAGAAAAGGCCAGGTTTTATCCTACACTGTACACAGAAATGCATGAGTGAAACTACAATAAAAAAAAAAGCATCCCGATGACAGCTGTCACCTCAGAGCTAAAAAAAATGCAAAAAACTCACGTGTCTCCTACCCATAGACATCATACAGAGAGAGGTGAAACTGGGGGAAAGACAACATATGTCATGGCAAGCAAGCAAAATGCTATCGCTGACCTGCTCTCAGTGTCGAAAGCTCATCTAGGTAAGCCACTTCACTAGTTAGTAGGTTAATAGATGGCTGGCTGATGCGTGTGGGATGGCTGGCTGATGCATGTGGAAGAATTTTTGTGAATATGATTGACTGATATGTGGGGTTTAACGTCCCAAAACCACCACATGATTATGAGAGACGCCGTAGTGGAGGGCTCCAGAAATTTTGATCACCTAGAGTTCTTTAACGTGCACCCAAATCTGAGCACACGGGCCTACAACATTTCCGCCTCCATCGGAAATGCAGCCGCCGCAGCCGAGACTCGAACCCACGACCTGCGGGTCAGCAGCTTAGTACCTTAGCCACTAGACCACCGCGGCGGGGCATTTTTATGAATATAGATGGCCTCGATTATTTATCTTATTGTCATGCTTTTGTGCTGGAAAAGTGTTTTTGTGGGTGCATTCCAGAGTTAAGCAGTACTTCCGTTCCTTTCCATGACAGAGACGTATATTCATGTCATAGAAATGATGTCGAAAAAATACGCACGACCAGAAAGAAAGGGAAAAGGATGGTCCGCGAAGAAGAGTCGAACTCGCAACCTTTCGGTCCGCGACAACAGAGGCTGGGCACGCCACCCAATGGACCACGTCCACGTACTCTGGAAACTATACAAACGCGCCTTTTACATCCAACATTGTCTTTTCAGGGTGTTCTCGGTAAAGTGCGGTTATGCGTCATGACCGTAACATACACAATAGCTGTCAAACATCAACAGACATTGTGAAAGCTTTCTTATGTCAATGTACAGTTAACTAACAACTACTTCTGTAAGGCCAAGTTTCGCTTTAAGTGTTATACCAATTCCTATGATAGAGGAATCAACCACGCATGTTTTTCTTTGTTTTTCTATTTCATCTCAAAGGCATGGAGCCAAAAAAAGTGACAAGAGTAAACAAGACAAATAGCAAGTGACCATATGTACGGGGGGGGGGGGGGGGGGTCAAAAGTTCTTAGGCCACAATCGCATGTATATCTATGGCAGCGTGGCCTGGGAAATTTCAATTAGGACTGTACATGTACTTCGCCAACCGAAACGTAAAAGAAGTTTTAGCGAGATAAACGACCGAGAAAGGACGGCTCAGGAAATGCCAATCCACAACGAACACCAGGCAGGATCCGAATTGGTCCACAATGACAACGAAGGGAATTACCATTGAAGCTGACAAGTCGCAGCCGCAAGGGAAAAATAAAAATAAGAAGACCACGACAAATAACGCACCAACAGTAAAAGCTCCAATATAACAAGTCCCGGCACCGACAGAAGTGTTTTCGGAGGTAAAACAACCGAGACCGATAGAACAATTGTTGTAGTAACAGCGCTCTACAAACATAAGGCACGAAATAAAACGATTGACGAGAGAGAATGAGCGATGAAAAAAAGTGATCAAGATACGCCCGGATGATGAAGAAACGCTACATAAGAAAGAAAAAAAAGGATAGCCGCGGCAAAGTCGTACAAACACTAACAAACGAAACGCCAACAAAGTCGAAAAAGACGAGACCGGGCTTGTTTCGTCGGGGACGCCGAAACCCAAGAGGCGACACATCCGCGAGAACGGGCATCGACGCAAAACGAACAAGGCAGTCGGCGAATATCGTGGTTTCGCTACGCACTTTGCGCTAGTTCGGTGCAGCGTCGTAGGAGAGTACCCGAGCATTTATTGCGCCGCCAAGTGTGGCAGCGTGGGCTAGTTGGTATGACATGACGATAGTTATAGCGCGAGAACAGAACGACGACACAGACAAGAAGGACACTCGTGTCCTTTGTGTCCTTGTCTATGTCGTCGTTCTGTTCTCGCGCTATAACTAGCGCCGCCAAGCAAGTTCCCGCGCATTAGAGCACGCGCAGGACTCCTTTTCGAGCTAACTGCCGAGGAAAATGGGAAAACGGCATTTTGTACCCTCAATAGAACTTACGCCGACGCCATGATGAGAAGGAGAGCAAAGCGGGCACCGGTGCGCACCCGCCATATTGGCGAACTCCGTCACGAGGGCGCTTTGAGCCAATCAGAGAAGTCGCAGCGACCGTGCGAGCCAATCAGGGCGGACAAGATGGCGGAATACGACTGGACCGGATTGGGGCTGTCCGGTCCAACGTTACTAGATTATTTCCGGTCAGCGTTTTTAGATTAGATAATATAAAAACGTCGGCTTTGGTGGGGTTCCAAACTGCAGTTGTGAGAAGTAATTGCTAAAAGCTGGATTCGTAAATAAGAGTACCGTAACGATGTCGCGGCAGACAGCACGGCATGCGGCAATGTTCAAACTCTTTGGCGGAGCATACGAGCATGTCCAGTGTGCTTATTCATGAATTGTTATTTCGTGACTAAGGAACATAAACGATTCACGTTTGTTCCAGCACTGACGTAATGAGTTGAGTCGTAGATTTTGAAAGGGAAAACTTCGCAAGGCAGTCGCGTCTCAACACAACGATGTCTCGAAACCCACGCTCTGTCTGATGAAAACTACCAACGATAATTCGAAACAACGCCATACGATCAAGTGGATTCATCGTCATCTTGGAAACCAGCCACTGCAGCAAGCATATCACGATATGCGCACGCGTACACACCCACACACACGCGCAACACTTTTGCTAGCCTAGATAAGAAACAATTAGCGCGCAAAAGTTTCGTATTGCACTGCTATGAACGATCGCATCCACCGTAGAACAACCTTCGCGTAATGGGATATTGAGGAGGCATGATACAGGCCCCGTAGGCCTTTCCAAACGACAAAACACTTTTTAAGCACCCCGTGCTCCGAGTTCGCGACCTTGAAAGGGGACGGGAAGTGCAGTGCGCCGTCATGCGTCCGACAAAAGTTGGGCGTCAAACGCACAACAATTTTTTTCCGGACAATTTACACAACAACCTCTCAAGTCACTTCTCCTCAGCTTCCGAGTCAACTGAGACGAGCTTAATTAAATTTAGTTGCGTGCACACGGCGCAATTCGCGCGCGTCCTCGAATGTATCGAAAGGCAGGGCTGCACCGGGACCTCTTCTGACGGATGAGACATAAAAAAAAAAGAATACATTTGACACGTAGTTCTCGGGCGCCTTACGCGAGCAGTGTTTTCACAAAAGTCAGAAACGTGCACTTTACAAGGAGTACCAAAGGGATCTTCATGATCACACAGTTCTCGGCACGCAACACAACAGAAACGCTTCATTCTCTTTTCTCGGAACATTGAAGAGGAATAAAGAAAAAAATCAATCAATATCTCGCGCCTTAAGAAGCCGTTTAAGATAGAGTTCAGGCTGACGCCGTTGACATCGAGAAGAGTGCACAGCTCGTCCCACAGCACCGCCAACAACGCTGCACACAACTAACGAAGACGGTTTTGCCACCTCCACGCGGCGGGCGCGGCTGCATGTCGTAGACTCGGCAGCTTCCCGGCCACGTCAAATCGGCGGCGCTATCGATCATTCATCGGCTTCCGCCCTTTCCCGCTATCTTCACACACACTTAAAGAGGTTGGGGGGGGGGGGGGCGATGCCAGAGAAGCAGTGACGTCAGTGCATTCCTCTCCACCGCAATTACACGTAAATATCCGAAGAAGCGACGATGAAGTAGAAGGAGGATTGCAAAGGAAATGGATCAAGCATGACGGCGGAGGAAAATGCGTGTATACAGCGCGGTCGGGGAGTTTCGTGCGCCGCCGTTGGAGACGGTGTTGACTGGCAGAAAGGAAAACATTTCCGCGAGGAGCGAGTGTGGAAGCCGTAAAAAAGGCGGCACGCAATAAACACAAAACGTTTTGTGCGCGTGTGTTTGTTTGTGCTCGGTTGCGTGCTTCGACGTCCTGTGTGGGGGGGAACCAACCCATCCGGTTGTCGTCACACGGTGGTACGAAAAAACGGAACGGAGTTCGTAAGTGAGAGAGAGGGAGAGAAAGAAGGCAAGTTGTGTGCGACGCGGCTCTTCTATAAGTGGAGGACGCCGAAGATGGCTGCGGGCGACACAGGAATAAAAAAATAAAAAAAAAGATCCGTTCTCTCCCGAGATGAGAGACCACGTCGACGTGTATACGAGTGTGTTGCGACAGCGCACCTCGGCAAAGTTTGCACGCGAGAGGAGAGAGGTCATTGACACCGGGAGGGGCAGTACAGGAAGAAATAAATATCAGAGAAGAAGGACGCCGCGAAGGTAACTTGGCACGAAGAAACGACGCGGGGACTCCGTCATTCCGCGGTTAAGTACGCGCCGGCGGTCACACTTGCGAGATTCGCGGGCTCGAGGAGGTCCTTATAGGAACCGGCCGTAATCGCAGAGGTCTACAAGTTCGTCAGGACCGGGAAAAATTCCTTCCGAGCAATCCTTTATAGGAGAAATCTCGCGGCTTCGCGGTACAAGGAAGTGGCTATAACCTATCCTGGTTATCCACACAATAGGTATCGAGTGCGTATCGAAACCTGATCGGTGAACATCCAAGGTTATAAAGCGACAACCACGCAGAGCTTCTATGAGAACCAACCGAAAACGAAACCAAGGA